TATTGATAGTTTAGATTAGTGTATTGCAATCATGGTTGAAAGGATAAGAAATTAAACCTGCCTTTCATTTGAATTTTGAAACAGAAGAAAACTTTGTTTTTTAACGTCAAAAATCATTAGTACAAGTCACATTGCTGTCACTTTGATGCAACTTTTGAGATAAAATCAAAATGAAATTTATGTACGGGAGATTATTGCCTTTCATTGTCTGATTAATATTCAAATGCCAATATTGTACAAAATTATCTAATATTACACACATTTTAAACGGCTTGAAATCATCTTCACTATTCTAATTTAGATATTGGAGATATTGTATTGTATTCTCTGTAATAATAAAGGTGCTATTAGGGATTTTGTGGAATTGGTAAGGATAACTTTTGGTTTTCATTGGGCATGAAATTTTGATTCAATTACAATTTGATAATATAAAGAATGATAATGAATTAATCAATTTGATTTGTTCACATAATATAACAATTTTAATATTATACTACTATATGGATAAAATATACAATTTAAAAAGAATAAAATAAATATGAAGAAATGTGTTATGGCATATATTTTAAAAAATAAAGATAAATATAATATTATGTTATTTAAAAGCTTATTATCCATACATAGTTATTAAAAATACAATAATAAAAAGGAAATAAAGCATCGAATTAAGTTAAAAGAATCTGAAATATAATTCAAACTTATCTTTGATATACATGAGTCAAATTTTATAAACTTAAATATGCTAAAATGTTCTTGGAACTAAATCAGGTTAGTGGGACAATAAGGTCATGGATAATGCCCTATGTGTTATAAAAAATTTACATGATTAATTAAAATTTTTGTGGCTAACAGTGTGGCAATGTTGGGCATTGGAAAGTGAGATAGTAAAATTATGTGACCAATAAAAGAGGAATGCAGAAAAGTACAATTGAGGTACTGCATGCTTTGATTTTGGCAATAAAAAAGTTTCTTAGTATTCATTCATATGAAACGAATACTTGGAGTCTTGTGTTGGGGTTTGTGCTGTGGTGTAAGTATTTGCTTCGATATTGTTCCATTGAAACAGTGTCATATGTTTCAGAGATACCAAGCATTAACCATAGTGTGCATGTGGCATTTTTCTTTTTTGGGTTCAGGGATTTGACCCTATGGATTCGATCCTAGTAACTATATTAACTACATAGGTTCTTAAAATTCAACTCAATCCCATTTTATTTTATTTTTCTTCTCACTGTTTAATTTGAACATTTTAAGTCATGAGGGAACCAAGGCCTCTTAGGCAAGAGTAACTCCATTTCTTATTACTATTTACAATATAAGTTACATTATTCAAGTCTATGCAATAGTTTCATCTTAATTTGCAATCTCAAAAAATTATGAATAGTTAAATTATAAAAATGATAAACTTTGAAACTTGTATTGTCACATATTTTATATGTTTTAAAACAAATAATATTGACAAGAAATATTAAATGTAATATCATGATATATATAAATTGTTATTAATAATACATAATTATTTTTAAAAATTTAAACTAAAATATATGATACTGGATCAGATTGAAATAGCCCAAAATATAATATGAATTATATTTGTCATTAAAATATACTGTATTTAATTCTCAAAAATTAAACTCGTTAAAATTAACTTCACACTAGATTGAATTTGAGAGATAGATCAGTGTCATAAATGTTCCCATATGCATGGATTTTACTATTTTACTTTTTAATGAGGACCATAATGTGATTTTTTGTTATGAAACTGTTTAAAGTAAATAGAATATTTTCTATTATAAGGATATATCAATTAATTTTTTTAGAAGACTCTGAATTTGAAATTAAATTTAAAATTAAAATCATCCAGGTGACATGAATAAAAAATATAATTAATAGATAATTCCCCTTAATTTATAAAAGAAAAATTTCTTATCATTCGGTCAGTTGCCAGATGATTATTCCTTGTCTCCCATTTTGCCACATTTATAAGAATATCGCCTTTCAGTGTTTCTTCCATTTCTGTTTTATGGGTCAAACCCTTTATGTCATGCTTTGAAGTCTTCAGCTATTTTCTGTTTTTTTTTTTAAAATGCTTATTATTGGCAAAAATTATGTGTATGTAATTTAAGTAGGCCCAAACATTTCATTTTCTTCTCAAGTAACATATACCAAACAAATTTCTTTTCAGTTAAAAAGAAATTTATTTTTTTCAGAATAAAAAATATATTCTTTGGCTATATATTAACTTTTCTCAATAAATCTAGTTTTTCTGGCCCATGCACCCAATGTAAAGAACTTCTTTCGTTTTTTTATTTTTTAAAATATCACTTTATGCTTTTATTTTCTATGTTTTTATAAACATTTTTTTTTACGGAATTCACTCTATTTTTCATTCTAAGACTATGCATTCAAAATTTCAAAGTTGACATCTACCCATTCCATCTGTGATTTTAAATGAATCGATTTATTGAACAACTCATGAATTGAGTAAAAGTAAACTAATCTAATTAAAATATTTATTTTGATAAACATGAGATAATAAATCCAGTCTTTTACTATAATTTCACAAAAATTCCACTACAAAGCTGAAAAAGATGAGTATAGAAAATAATTATATATACTGAAAACATGAATGGATCATTATTATTAACACGAATTTTATCCTTGTTATTTGTTCTATGGTTAGGAGAAATTTTGCGTTTAGGAATAATTCAAACACTTTGGCATTATCAATCAATAATTTTAACAATCCCACCATCAAGAAAAAAAAATGGTTGTACTTTTTTGGGTGTTCTCTTTGGGTCAACACTTGTTTGGGTTAAAAAAACAAAACTCAAAGGTCAAAAGCAAAGTCCTACAGGCAAACAAACAAAAGGCTAGAAAGCCAGCCCAAGTTCAAACATTCACAAAAGATTTAAGATTAATTTTCATTCACAATTCGTAATTGTTGTTAACTTGAGAGAACCCTTTTAATCTAATAAGAGAATACGAATGCTAAAACAAATTTTTAATACATTATTTATACACTTTTTGTTTTAGCCGAAACTTGTTAAAAATTATAAAAATATAAGTGAGACTCATTAAATTAAAATTCACATAATTTTTATGATTTTTAATTAATTTCATACAATAATCAACTATATGAACTGCATTTAAATTCACATAACATTTGTTTTAAAAGTATGAACGGTATTTAAAATTTTTTTAGTTTGCTTTTATTTTCCCCTAGTTCAATCAACTCAATTTTTTTTTTCGTTTGGTCAACCAACTCAAATTTTAGTTTTTTTTTTGTGGTCATCAATTTTTTTTCTTTTTTTCTTTTTTATCTTTATAATAATTTTATTTATTGTTATAACTCGTCTACTTATCTTGTCGGTGTTATTTATTTGGGCTTAACCTTTGAGTTTTTGGTGAAAATAGAAAAAAAAACTATTAATTTTTTTTCTAGTTTTTATCAAAAAATAATTTAAAACTTCAATTTTTTTTAAAGGGGGGATCCATGAGTTGGCTCGGTCGGGTAACAATTTGCATGTAGCCGAATTGAACTAGCAAAATTTTACCCCACATTTGCATTTAAATGCCTACTACTTTAATGCATTGTTTGAATAAGAAAGAAAATAAATAGAAAAAAAAAAGAATAGTGATATATTTTCTTTTATTAAATTAAGAGAAAGTGGATTTTTAAAAATAAAAATTTAACTTTTTTTCTTCCTCTCATTTATTTTTCAACTTGAATATTAACTTGCTTGCTCTCTTCTCATTTTCTTTCCACAGGAACAAACCAAACACATTGGCCCTTCACTGATGAAGACCCATCTACTATTCGCCACGGCTCCACCAGTGTTGGGCTAAGCCGAGAACATGAAAAAACTTGTTCTGTCATTTACTCGCATAGAAACATTATTGATATATTAAGTATGGGAGAAAAATGTTAAATTAAGAGTAAAATCAAACAGTGAGATTTATATAATTTCTAATAAAATTTTACTAATAACTAAAAATATATTAAAAATAACGTGTTAGAAAATATGTTTGCTTATGTTATTCTTCCTTGGGTATCATTCAAGTTAACTCATAGTTTGATTGAATATAATAAAAATGAAATTGATATTATATATGCATTATGTCTTTCATTTTAAGTTATAGAATTATATTTTTTAAATTATAATTTAAAAATATATAAGGGATAAAAATATAAATATCATATTATCGTTTACATCAACTCTATTATATTATATAATATTAGTAAAATGCCACCTAGATAGATAATAAAGAAAAAAATAACAAATTACTAATAAAAGAATAAATATAAAAATAAAAATATTTTAAAAAATTAAAATGAGACTAAATAAAATAATCATAAATTTTTAAAGAATTTTTTTTAAACCTTTATCTTTTTTTTTTCTCCTAGTAAATTGTTTGATTTGCCAGTTCTTCAACGCTGTAACCACAATTTGGTGCAACTGTATAGAAGAGCTACTGATTAGTATTTTAGAAGTTGATTTCAATTTTCAAATGAACTATAAGCCAAAATTAGCAGCTGCCTTATGCTCTACATGAGAAATTAAAAGGGTAAACTACTAAATCTTTTAAACAAAATTGACCATACTACATATATTCACCCGATAATTTTTAAAAAAAATACTAACAACACATTCTTAATTATTGACTAAAATTAATTAATCATTAAATTATAAGTAAAAAAATAAAATTTTTGTAATTTTCAACAAATTTTAACTAATAATTAATAGTATTTTTAATATATATTTTAAAGGACTATTAGCAATCCTCTTGGAATAAAATGACTGAAATTTACAGCGGCAAGTGCAAGAAATTATTTTCTCTTGTTGATATGTATACAACACAAAGAACTTCAAAAAATGTGAGAGGCAATGAATGATCACCACCCCTTAAAACAAACATTGGTAACAACAAAAAAATTACTAAGATACAACGTATACATTCTAGTAAAGCAACTAAACTATAAGCACAAGAAATGCAACAGAATCCATAGTCCAGATATAGTGATGCCTAACTAGCAAGCTCATTTGTAGGTTCCCATACCTACGCCAGTCTCACCACCGGCATAAGGTTGGAAGCTTTCCCTGGCCCTTGAGTAGTTGATATAGTAGAATTCAGAAACTATGGCAGTGAAGAAAACGAAAGCAGCGCCAGCAGCAAAAACTCCCTTCCTAACCATCTCGCAAGAAGGGGGGTTTTCCACAAAGATGGTCCTGTATTTGGTGTGATAGGCATTTTCCACTGATCCAGCCAACAAGCACACCTCAGCTATGAAGAAAAACACCCTGAAATAGACAGTTCCAAAACAAATTCTTCAGGTGAAATACCCAATGAAAAAAGCAATAAATATTTAATTTAACTTTGCAGGATATATGATATATTTGTATACACAAGGTAGTGAAGCGCTTAATGAATGCTAGCTCATTATAAAACTTAACTATGAAACTTACTAGAATAAACAGAAAACACCTTTTGTCAACATAAGTTCATATTTTGATAAGCTATGTCAACATATGTTGTTCATAACTCATGAGCTCTTCTAAACAAGACTTTATAAAGTTTATATAACTGTTGCTAATTTGGCGAAGAATGATAATTTACCAGCAGATTATGAAAAGTACAACTGCACAGGCCCTTGAGCCTCCAGGGCTTAGAGGCTTCCCACAACAGAAGCATCGACTTGCCACCATTATTAGGACTTGACTAACCATGAGGAACAGAAATGCTCCAACACCATAGCCAGTTGCTATATCTGAGTCATAGACACAGTGATTATAATTCTGATCCCTGTCCAGAACAACTTTAGCCTGCCAACCAAAACATACATTGATATTTTGTTAAGTAGGAGGTAGAAAGGTTAAATCTCAAAATTGATTGCAACCTAAGTATAAAAAGGTCACTAACAAGTCATTAGGAGTGAATTAGTGGAGAGGGGTTTAGATAATTTACAAGGCATCATAGGTTCAAACTTCAATGTCATTAATGTACCAAGGAGGAAAAAACCATTTCATTATTTTAACCGGAGGAATTATGACTATACATCTCCTAAATCTAATAACGGGATAACTTCTTCACAAGAACTTAGTGAAAAATTTGAAAACTAGACGAGCCTTTTGTTTGGTATAAAGTAAAAATTCTTCACTTGAACCATGAGAAATGAGTTACATCAATCAGGATTGAAAAAACCTTGACTGTTTAGTTCTATAAGCAATCATGAGTTACCCAAATCCATTAGGGAAACACCTGTGTTTGTTAACTAGTCATAACTTCACAACGGAGCAAAGGAATGCACAAGTACACGGTTGAAGCTAAGTGGCATGCATATATGGCTCCTTTGAAGAAAACAGAATGAGAAGTTTTCCTGATTGAATTTTAATGATAGAATTCTGATGAACTATTTGCCTAAATTTGATATATATTCAAGTTAAAAAAAAAAGAGAACAATGAGAGATCTGAGTTTTCATATCACATTTCTTCTTGCATACAAACAGGACAGTATCATGTATATACAGATCTGGTGTTCAATTTGCAAAAATAGCCAAAGAAATCACAAACCTATCACATCAATGAAGAACTTCTTCATCCAAGGAAGAAAAGTTCAAGATTCAGCATGTCATTGAATGCGAACAAACAAGGCAAAAAGTCAAACAGAAACACAAACTATTGCACATAGTTTTATTTCTAAACTTCATTCGTATCACATTCACAATAAGTTTATAAGAACAGAACAAATTTTCAACAATGAACAGATCTGGGTATGCCACAACAGATAAACCAGGAATTCAACAACGAAACAGAGGAAAAGTCCTTGGAAGCATTTATGCTAACATGTGATAACCCTTACCCAACATCAAATTCCCAAACTTTAGTTCATAGAAAGAAAAGTACAACACTAAAGATTCAAGCTTTGCGCACATTTTCTCATTTTTTCAACAATCAAGGGAAAAAAAAATATCTGCTCTTATATCTTGCAATGAATGATTCATTGATCATATGATTCTTCTGAAACCAATAACTGAAAAAACCACTGAACTCAAACCCAAAATCTTGTTTTGAATTTGGAGAAGAAACAATGAGGATAATGGAAAGAAGAAGAAAATGGAGAATTGCAATGCGAACACTCACAGTGCTTCTTCTCTGTTCAGCTGCCACGGCAAGACCAAAAGCAATCAAGTCAAAAACGAAGACAATGATGAGTAAGAGCTTGGAAGCCATGGAAGCTGAGAAGAGAATGTTACTGAATTTGGGTTCTATCTGCTCTGTGTGCTCTGTTATGTCTTCAGTGCTCTTTGCAGCTATAAAAGCCAGCTGGATTCCTGAGTGTGCAAGTTAAGCAGAGATAAATCACCAAAAAAATTAAAACAAAGAAAGAAAAAGATTGAAAAGTTTTTAGGAAAATAAAATACAAGTAGAAAAGGACGTGGCAACAGGTGAATAATATATGAGAATAGGTGTTTTACCTGCAAACATAAAGATTACTTACCTAACCATGGTTTTTATTTGCTTGGGGAAGTAAGCTACAATCATAGTTTAAGGTCATACATTTTAATTTTATTTGGACAAAGTGTCTTCAGCTTTAGTTGTTTATACATATACTTACAATCACAGTACGTGACATAAATGCAAATGTGTAAAAAGATAAAATATTTTACTTATTATATTTTAATGTGTATCTAAAAATATAGAATAAAATATTAATATTAAAAATTATTGTATAATAGAAAAACTGAATTTTTATATAAGTAAAAAGGACATTAATATTATCTTAAATTTTTATTGACAAATATTTTTTTCTAAATTAATAAATGAAAATGGATTAATCTATACATTATTGTTAGTGTTTTAATTTACAGAAGGAAGTAAATCTTAAGAATGTGATAATTTGAAGCCCAAATTCTTCTTGTTATGTTTGTGAATTGAGAGTGTAATAAATAACATGGCAGGGGGTGTTTGGGGGGTTTGGTTGGAAGTCGGTGAGAAAGAGAAGGTTGTCGAGGAACTGAAGAAGGGGTAGGATGGTCATTTAAGAGGTTTGTGAGGTGACGCCGTAGCTGTCGGTGAGGGCATAATGGGAAGAGAATTGCGTAACAGTGAAGGAAGAGTTGATGAGGCAACGCAAAGTGAATCAGTGTTTGGAGGACATCGCTTATAATTAGATGGTGGAAGCCTCTTTCATTACCATTTTTGTGACACATTTTTTCTTATTATTAAAAATTTATATATGTTACGCTCTTTTTTATTTTAAATTAATTTTTTAGTATTTTTTAATTTTTAATAAATTTTAATTAATACTAATAAATAATATGTTATTGACATTCTTTTTTTTTAAATACTTATATATATATATATATATATATAAAAGAATCTTTTGTGAGTTGGTAGAATTAATGTAAGCGCGGCAAAGATTACATACTCTCGTTTGATTTATAAGAAAAAAATTAATTAAGGTTAATTAATTGAATTTAGTTTTAACTAAAATTTTTTAATTAACTTGAATCAAATTAATTCGATAAAAAAATAGGAGGCAGTCCCATGTTTTCAATTGCAATACAAGAAAAAAAGAAGAGAAAAACAAAAATAGATGAAATTAAAAAATGTTTATATTTGTTGATTGATCAAATAGATTTAAAGTATATATTTAAACAAATAATTTTATTAAGTATTTATTTAATAAATTTTTTTACATAAAAATTTATGACATAAATATTTTAGTTAACTAATGTCATAAATATTCTAGTCAACTAATATGTTATATTAATAAAAGTTAATATTATTATGATATGAACTGTTGATTGGACTAAATAATTTAGCATTTAATAAATTAAAGATTAACGAGTCTATTTAAAAATTTCAAGAACTAATTTAATTGATATTTATAATTTTAAAACAAAAACTATTTATTTAATTAAAGTATTGACAAAATTAAAGATTAACGAATCCATTTAAAAATTTTAGAAACTAATTCAAAAATTTACTTTTTATTTGTTTATCATTAAAGGAAGTTGCTTGCAATAAAACAGCTAACGGGCATATAATTATGAGTTGTGATAAAATTTTAATATTACTTGTTTAGTAACCTATCCAATGTACATATATTTTATTTTAAAATCGATATATAAATAATTTAATAATTAATTTTTTTTTATATTTGTATAAATATTATATACAAAAATCAAAACTATTTTAAACAATAACTTTATTTAAAAATATTTTGATTTATTCTATAACTATGAATATTATGTATTAAAATAATAAAATTTAATAAAATTAAATAATTTTAAAATATAATTTTTAAAATAATATTTTTATTATATAGTGTAATTTTTTAATAATCAATATATATTAATAACTATAAATTTAAGAGATAAGACTCTTAAAAATAAATTTTAAATAAAAACATTAAAGATATATATTTTTTATAAATGTAACAAAAAATAATTTTTATAAAAAAGAAATTTTATATAAAGTAATAATAAAAATGTAAGTAAAACTTTAATATCTAAAACAAAACAAAATTAACAAAGTAATATGTATGAGTTATTTATGTCACGTTTGAGTTTAAATCATTTAAATAACTGAACTTAATTTTAAGTTTGTGTATATTTTTTAATTAAATAAACTTGATCAAATATATAATTAACAAAACTCAAATAATTTACTCATAGGTCGGCTATTTTGTTCTGGGACACAGCAAATAATGATTACTGTTCAACATGCTTTGAGTTTCATAATAAACACACCTCTTCCATTTTATTTTGAATTGAAGATCAATTGCTGACAGAGTAGGTTAAAGTAGACAGCAGATTAGACGATTTGATTTAAGATCAAAATCAATTTATTATACCATAACATGTATTTAACCATTTAAAATTTTAAAAAACAACACTTGTTACTTTGATGACATGAGATGTTAATACTAAACTCTTTGAGTTTGAAGCAACAATAAAGTAACCTATGATTTGTTGGGAGTTTGAAATTAGTTGTTGTGCAATATTCTACAGCTTCTGCTTAAGCCTAAGCATCGGAATCTCTAAATAAAATAACAATTTGTATTTTTATTTATTTTAGCAAAAAGAAAAGTGGCATCTCACCCTCAGCCACAGCACAGCTACGCACGGTTCGGTTTTCAGCTAACGTTTTCCTGTTTTTGTCTTACACATCATACTGTATTTATTGCTATTTATATCGTCGTATTCATGACACTATATTTATCACTATCTGTTACTTTTTTTATATTATAAATATCTTAATTAATTTTTATCTTTTCAAATATACACATAGAAGTACTGTATATCAAAACCAAATAATTCTAAATTCTTTTTTTATACCTAAAAATTCTTCTAATTATTAAATAAAAAATAATAAAATACTTTTATGTTTTAAAAATAATAAATACATATTTAATATTTAACACTTTTTTAAAAAAAGAATATGAAGGAAATATAGCAAAACCCCCAAAAAAAAAATCACAAAAATCAAAGAAATTTTTTTCCCCAAAATTATTGTATAAAAAAACATTACTCTTTTCCTTATTGTTCTGCTACCTCTCTGCAAGTCGCAGGAATCTCTCTCTCCCCAATTTAGAGAATTTTAGAATTCTATACTGTAGCAATTTATAACTTGCAATTGCTGGGTGTGTTCAACATTAATTTGAAGCTTCCAAGGGGCAACATAACTTACCAAATGAGGAAATGCATAAAAAAAATTCATTGCTGTAACAAACAGACCATTACAAAAGAATATTAGCATGAAAGCAATACACAACCAAACATTACAACTTCCATGATTTACAATACAAAGGAACAGGTTTTGGCATCCCATGACATTAAACAAAGATAAGCTCTTATAGTTATAGCGTTCTAACATGGAAACTTTATTACCTGCGAAATCCTTCCTTAGGATACACCATATTCAGATAATTTAGATCATGCATGAAAGCAACTCCCAATGCCCGTGGCCTTATTATTACGTGTGGCAAGCTGAAAACTATCTACAATCTTCCACATGACTGCCATGTCACATGAATGAGCTTTCAAAACAACAAATAATTCAATGTGCCAAACGCTTCCTGTGAGCTGAAGAATGGACAGAGTAAATTCTTGAAATATTGAATAACCGAAAGTAGGGATAAAGAGAACAGATAACTGTTCTTAACACTTCCAGAAGATTATGATTAACCCATTTGCACAAAAATCAATCCACCAGTATGCTTCAGCTCTTCCTTCCAAAGAAGAGAAGCTTTCGAAATCCTTTTGCTGCTTTTGAAGTGTCCTCATCACTGTTCCATTTCTTCCTAGAATGGATTGGTTCTGCCATCACTTGGTTAGTTGGTGGAGGGGTAGAAATTTGTTTCTCAGAGACTTTAGTAGGCAAGACAACATTGATTTCATCTATTTCTTGATTAACCTTTGAATTCACTGAAGAAATTGTTTGGAGTTTGCTAGGTAATGCAGCTGTAGGATTTATGATCACATTAGCAGCACGATGAGGCTTGTTATCACCAGCAAGTGAAGATAACTGGTCCAATACTTCTTCACCTCTTGGCCCATTTTTTCCCAACGTGTGATCATGATTCGGTGAAGACAAGTCCTCGTGGCCAACACTTCCCGGCGCGTGTTCTCTTTCTGAAATCAAATGTTTTACATGTTTCTCTGATGATGTCTTGGATAGCTCTCCAATGTCTTTCATACCAAGATCATTGGTATTTGGTTCACTAGATTGCATGGCGCTAGAGTTCACTGGCACTACTGAGGCTTCTATTTCATTCTTAGCCTGGACATTAGTGTCAGCAAGAACTTTCCCATTTGTTTTTGTGGCATCTTCTTTATGGTTTGAAGATTTGACTTCTTTTGGGGCCTGTTTCTTCTTTTCTATGCTAGCAGTCTTCTGCAATGGTAATCCATTTGCCTTCAAGGTTGGTTTCTTGGTTGGAACTGATTTTGCTTGACTTGGTGAAACCTTCTGCTGAGTTACTCGGGCAGTTGCGAGGCGATCAATGGTGGAATTCCTGAGGACCGGTTTGTGCAATTTCTTAGTCTCCTCATTGGATGGATGTATCTTAGGATTCTCTTTCTTTGTAGAAGTCACGGAAGTTTTAGTTTCCTTTCCAGTCTTCTTAGAGGCACTTCTCTCAGCAATTCTTTTCTGCCGCTGAATCAATAACTCCTCCTTTCTCTTTCTACTTTCCTCTTCCTATTAATAAAAGTGGGCAATATCAGTGAACGAATAAAAATTTAGTAAAAGAATGATGTACTCCAATAACTAAAAAAATTGTGATTAAGAGCTACAAAAAATATTAAGAAAAGTGAAAGTTTCATATGGATTTGGGGCAACTGAAAGTGTTGCCTTTTCCTAAGACTTATAATCAAAGAATTTTCAATATGTATTTGGAACAACTGAAAATGTTGTTTTGTCATGGAAATCTAGAAGTTGTTAGTTTACCTTATCAGATTTGTTTCTTGTAACTGTAGTTCTGCTTCCTGGGGATGCTTTGCTTCTTGACGTGATGTCAGATTTGTTTTTTCCAAAAGATGAATTTAAAGCCCTAGACTTTGTATCTTTACTTGAAACTTTCCCAGTTCGCACTCCAGGACTTTTTGTATCAGGAACCTCATGGTTAGACTGGTTTTTATCTGTTTCAACTTCAGAAAGCTTTCTATTTGCTTCATTTGAAGAAATGTTATTTTCATAATCCATTTCCATGCTCCATGCTGTCGCAATCTGCTCTACAGCTGAATTGCGGTCAAGAACCATGTAGAGATCATCTGGCTCGTGGGAATTTAAGATTTCAGTCTTATTGTGTGAACCTTCTTGTGTGCTGTTTGCGAATTCAGTAGCACCAACAATGTCTGAAACCAAACTTATGTCTGCTACTGATTGAGAATTGAACTGATCTTCTGAAGATCGAGCTTGAATCATGAAAGAGTCATCACTCATGACGTCTTTCTTATTTTTCTCTACGGATGATGATGAAATGGAAACACCATTTAAAATACTGAAGTCTTGGTTTCGGTCCTCATTTGCTGGTTTATCAGATTGATTGATAATGAACCAATCCTCTTCTTTCTGGCGTTTAGCAAGGGGAGATTCTAGGCCATTGCCAGAGAGAGCTGACATGGAATAGGTACCTGATTCTCCATTTCTCTGAGGAAACAACAACTCTTCATCTGTGTTATTTTTTTTCTTCATAAATGAAGGTGCGCCTTTTCCTTCCTTAAAGTATTCAACACCATTTTGAGCCTCCCTGTTGAATTCCCTCTCCATGACAACAAAGGAATCATTTGAAACTGCTCGAGTTTTATTAATGTCTGGTTTGTGGTTAAACTCATTTGACATTCCATCCTCAAAATTCTTATCAACAGCGTATTTCTCTTGAAACTTAATAGGCTGATTTTCTGTATCAAGAGTAGGATCATCATCCCTCAAAAGAAGATTCTGGAAAGCATCCCAGTTGTTATTGCCTTTTATGCCATTGGAATCAGCATCTATTGAACCATTTAGTGCGCCAGGGTGCTTTGCACTATGGTGTTTCTTATGGTGGCGGGAGTTTGACTTATGTCTTCTCTCCAGTGATCCTACAGCTTCCTCTACTTGCTGTTTCAGGGAATCTCCGTTGATAAACTCTTCCTCATTGGACAGACTCCCCTCTGTCATACTACCCTTTTCACCATCCCCATTAGAGGTTATATAGTTTATATTGCGAATAACTACTTTCCTTGAGGACTTCTTTCCGTGCTTCTTTTTGTGCTGATGTTCTGTTGAAGAGTGCTTTTTACCTTGCCTTGAATGGTCGTCCAAATCACTCTCAGAACTAGTATCAGAGGATGATGTGGACTCATCTTCTTCAGACTGATCCAGTACTTGAGAATGCTTTTTCTTTTTCTTCTTATATGATGATTTATGGTAATCCTTTTCTCGGTCAAGAACATTATGAGAGTCTTCTGAATTTGGTGGCCATTGCATATTCCCTGGATAATAAGAGGAGGGAACCTGCATACCAGGATACAGATACCCTTGGTATGGAGACATTTGGTGAAATGCATGACCCTGAAAATTGTGCATATACTGAGGAAGATGGTTTGGCCATGACATTGGCATTTGAGCCCTTCCATCTGTTGGTGGTGTTTGACCTGATGTTGGCAAGCTATAATCTGCAAATTTTCAAAATCAGTAAGTGTCAAACTTTTGGATCTAACTGTACAAGATTTAAGTTGTTCAAGAGACTTTGTTTCAGAAAGTTAGCCACACCTACATTTTTCTGGAAATTCCAAGTAGTATGATTTTTATAACTCTATTAAAGTGTGAAGCAAGCATAATCTCACAACTGATTGACAGGGAGCTCATGTATTAATTCTAAATTTTCTCAGAAGAACTATAAATTCTTTTTGTTTAACAATAAAGAAAATAGAAAAACAGAGGTGAGACTGCCATAATAATATATTTTGATCAAACAAGACTTGGTTGGAGAAAATGAGAAAACATAGTTGTTTTTCTTGAACCCTGGTTAGTAGCAGAGGAGGATACCTTGGCCTATGTCCAAACTTGCATGACTTGGAGTTGATTCAGAAATTGAAGGGTCAACTAAGCCATTTAATTTGCTGGTTGTATCATCTTCACCAGCAAGTATGATTCCAGATGTCCTCAAGTATGGCAATTCGGGCTGAGAAGATGCTTGCATGGCTGCTATCTCATCCATCCAGAGCTTGTCTTCGTTCTTTTGTCTGCACAGGTCTAAGAAATTTATGCATGCTTCCCTACATGAAACAGAAAGTTATATTAAATAACAAAGCATAGAAGGTAGTATAGGCTAAAAGAGTGAAGATCATTCACACAATAATCCTGTATCAAGGCATCATATGGATACACATTACATTCAATTGAGTCTATTCAGTAATTAAGTACAAGTACAAAAAGATCCAACAAAAACATTGATTAAGGCTAAGAGAGAAAGAGAGAGAGAAATGTTGAAGAAAACACAATATCTGCAGAAGATAAATGCTAACAACACATTCTTTCTAATACAGTCTTGGTTATTTATTGGTTAAAATTTATGAAAAATATAGCAATCATTTGAGTCCTCTTTACCAATTTTAATTTAACGTTTTTCTCTCATATTTTTATAGATTTCAATAAATTTTAACCAATAATTAGGAGTGTATTAAAACTGTGTTAGAGAGTGTGTTCCTTACACTCCTCTTGACATAATATTGTTTGTCTTGCTTATGTTTCATCTATAATGCAACTATTCCTTATTATAGACTTCTAAATTCCAAACAGTAAATGGAAACAGATAAGATTCATCTTTCAAAAATATACTAAGCATTTGAAAAAAAGGACTTTCAACCAAACAAAAAGGAGGAGGAGGAGGCAATATGTATTTGCTTGAGGTAGGTGCTATAGACTATTCATGTCATATCTCAAAAGGAACATAGTCTTCATAATATGTCAATGACAAAGCAAAAAAGTAAAATGAAAAAACAAACAGTGAGCGGCTAGTAAGGTGTGAATCATTATGCCCAAATATAAGTATAAATGAACTTCCACTCAAGTTAGGTAAAAGTTTTCTCTTTTTCTCTGAAAAGTGAAGCATTTTAATTGATCAATGTCATTTTGTGGTTTGCTAGCGGACCTTAAACGTGATGCTCCAAATGCATCAGCAAAACATATAAGATCATCCACAGATTCTGGGTAAAATCCTGCTACTAAAGCACGAGCATAGGCCATTGCTTGTTCTTTACAAAGCATAGCTTTACGATTATCTAGAACACGCTGAAGGCGAACCCTGTTCGTCAAAAATCAATAAAAAAAATTATTGCATGGTATTATGGACACTATGAAAAACAAAACGATGTCATTCAAGACAACACAGGAAAACACCAAAAACAGTACTTGGAGTTTTCTTCATATCCATCTTGATTGGTTCCAAGGAGCTCATCTTTCAGCTGAAACTCAACAGGTAATAAGAGGTTCAATGTCATACCAAGACCAAGGAAAACATTAGCAAGAATCATGTTTACTTACCTTAGAGGAAGTTGTGGACCTTTTGACTCGCCCATCAAAAAATGAGACATTTCCTGTTAATCCCACGTCAAAATATGAATTCCATTCATAGAATGCATTAAAGAGAATGAAAAGTTTGAAGTTAGGAGTTGCAAGTCATTTTTTCTTTTCATTTACTTTTATTATTACAATACTAGAAACAATTTCCGGCCAACATAGCCTGCTTTTCACCTTTTATCTTTTCGCTGATCCTATTTAAAATGGTTATGGGAGATAAATAAGCAGAAAGGGAAAAAGATAAAACAGCTTGTTGCTGGCTTCAGAAAAGTACTAATGTTTCTTTTTTCACAGAAGATTGTAACCTGTAGAGACACTATTTGCTAATTTTACTCTAACATGAAACATTTAGTGCTTGCACAGTTAGCATGCTGTTGACTTGCTAGTCCAACCATCATTTTAGTCAGGCCATTTATCCACACACGCACGCACAAAAGAGGATAAAATTCTAAAAATTACTGAGAAGCCATGCCACACATCCAAGTAATTTGGTACCCTTCCAATCAAATAGGCCATAGATAAAGCCATGTATAACATGTCAGTTTATTACATAGCATTGTCATCAGTACGCATTAGTTTCTTGCACTAAAACAACTCCCAAAGTAAATAAATAAAACATTGTCTTTTATAATTGAATAGTTGCATTTGAGTAGAAATTGAAAAGAAATATAAGAACTTGCCAAAGAAAAGTTCAATTAAGAATAATAGGGAAAAAGAAAAGGTTGAGAAAGAGGTAGATGTTCCGGGATATACAATCAACAGAAAGATAAGTCACCGATGTGATTAAGAATTCCCATTCACACCTTCTGCTTCTGCCACCAAATTGCTCTTCTCATTTGACTGAATTGAACCTTCAATCTGCACAATCTCCTTTTCAATTGTCACAAACCTCTCTAGAACTTCAGGGGTGCTTATAAATCTAACAAACCTATAGAAGATGAACCAAAACACAAAAACAACATTGGTCTTTCATAATCATTTAATAAGATAAACTACACAAATAATCAAAGGGAGGGTAAGCCTTGGCCTGATCCCAAATTCACATTTTTCTGCTACACACTACAACACAAAATCAAAAGGAAAAACCTTTGAAGGGTGGCTTTGGTGAACCAGGGAGCATTTGCAAGAGGTGGGCGCAGAGTGATGGAATATCCACCTTTAGAAATCTGATCCTTGGCACTCTGAAGGTGAGAAAGAAACGGTTCTAACAACCCAGAAGCTAGTCTTTCACTCGCACCTCCACCAACAATGACAAGGTCACATCTTTAACAAAGAAACACACAAAGTCAAAATCACCAAAACATTTTCTTTTTCTCATTTGGAGCTAGAATTATGAACTGTGAAATTGTAGAACCTGGTTCTAGTTGGAGTGAGCTGAAAAAGGGCATGATCAAGACGAGAGCTTGGGTCCATAGCTTGAACACAATGGTCCAAAAGAGAGTGAAGTTCAAAGTTCAAAGCTTTGGATCCTTAAGCGCCTCCTCTCACCTGAGAATGCAGTGAGAGAGAGAGAGAGGTTGGCACATGGAGGGGTTTTTTTGTTGAGTTTTTAACGTGGGACCAACATAACATGCTGTCATGTAAACACACATACACACACGTTGTTTTTTAGAAAGAAGTTCAATGCGGCTTCAGAACTTGGAAGGGGTGGTGATGAAAGCAGATAGAGTTGAGAGTGGTTAAGAAGTCCATTTTGCTTTGCTTTCACTGTTAACTTGTCATCCAAGAGTATTCATACTCTCTCTCTTTCTCTGTATGTATGGGGGCTTGTCGGTGTCATTCACAGAGAAAGAGTGAGTGACTGAGCAGCAAGGAATAATTACAATTGTTGTTATCACTTCACACATTGTCAGTGCCAACCACAAAATTGAAAATGAAAAAAGTATACTTTTCGGCATCAACCCCATCTGTCTACATCCCATGCTTCCAATAAATACTAATAATTCTACTACTTTCTGGGGACGGCCCTTTTCTTCCTTCTACAATCTATAAACCTTTGGATTATCTTGGATGAATATGGCCACTATACATAATAAATTAAGGGGATTTTGTAATTAAAAAATTCTCATAAACTTAAATTTAATTCAAATTGAACCTTAATATAATTAATTATAAGTTCAAGATGTAAAATAATAATCAAATTTGCTATAAAATTGAAGTTACAAGTTATTTTAAGAATTTAACGTTTGTGCTTATAATTATTGTGTGTAACGCAACAATTTATTTCTGCATTTTGTTTACTATTATCCTTTCTGGAACTGTTATAATTTGGAATGTATTAACTGTATAAATTATTTTTTTGGTTGGTTCATATGGAATTTGAAACACATCAAGTTTTCGACTAGCGCATCTTAATTTTACTTTTTCATACTAAAAATTTCATTAAAAATAAGAGACCATGACTCTTACCATGTGATATGAGAGTTATATCATAAAAGAATCAAAGTTAATAAACTGTAAATGATTAGATGTTACAATGTTAATTAGTTATGTATTAATGTCTGAGCCTAGACATCTTTTTAAGCTGCAGTCCGCTTACCAAACTACTTTACTAATGCATAAATATTCGAATACGTATAAACTAAACTCAATAAACTGATCTAATCAAAATTACATTAAAAATAAAGAGCAAAAAGAAAGTGGTTCTTAATGTTGGGAGATAAACGGTTGCTATCTGTGGTTTGGAAATATAATTGGAGTCAATAAATTGGAAGGAGCTAGCTGTCTATGATTGTGTTTTTGGTACAAACAAATGTACATCTCCAAAAGAAAGGAAACCGACAAATAGGAGTAAGATAATAACCAAACCTCACCAATTGACATGACAAAACGAGTTATGGGAAAGAATGTTGTGTTCTTGCACTTTTAGAAAAGGACTTCCAGACGAGGATAAATAGTTGTCCTTTGTTCTACTACCCATGAAAAATAAACAATTGTCTGATTAAAAATAAGTTCTATGTTTCTTTTTGTTTCATCGATCATTTGGAGGAGAGGGAATAGAGGAAAAGGTTTCAGAAAGACAATCTACAAACTGTTAGACAAAGAAATTTCCACTGGTAAACGTTTATCTTTAGCCAAGTTTAAATTATCCTTTGAATAGAAAAAAGAGCATTAATATGCGAACAATTTTGCAAATGATTTTAGGGTATGTATGGACAATTGAAATCAACCTAATTTGTAGTTAAGGACAGGGACATTGCACTCGTGGGGCTATGTAATGGTGGTTGGATCATTGATATAAGAAAAAAAGGTGAACAAATTTGCAATCATAGCCTTGCTAATAATCCATCACTTTTCAGGTTAATGTCGGTTCATATATAGCTTTCCAATACAGAAACCAAACGCTTATAGGATTGCTTCATCCTCTGTTCATAGTAAGTAGGCCCTAATTATTGTCATTTAGTTTTATACTTCGTTGATACTAGAAATTTTTAATGTGTATTACAGAATATATAATAATAATAATTATTATTATAAATAATAAATTTTTATAACAATTTATATTAAATATCATTACATTAATATTAAGGTGGATATAGATTATTAAAATAAAACTTTAATTTTAATTGAAACAGTAGCAGTGTTTCCTTCCAATGCTTTCACCTAAATTTTCTCCTTGATTGCCGTTGTCAGTTTCTGAGGAAACACTGTTCCAACTTGGAGCTTCATATATTTTAATGTAGGGGAAAAAAGAGTGATCCCTTAAAGATAGCACAGTAGGGCATAGCTACCAGTAGATGGTGTAATCAATGAATCATTAGTTATTAGTTAAGAGTGTTTGTAGATGAAGTCTCAACATCTTAAGGAAATTAATTCATGAAAAAAGGTTCACAATGTTCTACCCAAGCAAGTGCTATTAATTAGCACAAAATATGTTAGGAAAAAACAATTACTGTAGATATGATCTATCTATTCACTCCTACAGATCTCATCAGAATTTTGTATTCTTTTACAATCAAATTTAAAGTAATTGTCAGGGAATTTTATCTCAAAAAAGTTCAAATTTTTTTCCCGAATTTGTTTAACTTCATTACAGTTAAACATTTCAAGTTGTTTGAACACAACTTTGAAGGTAATTATTTTTATTAGTCTCATTTAAATAAAATAAGAAATTCAATGTAAGTTTTCTCACTTATAGAACTAGCATTTTAAATTAAAAATTTTCATGTGTCATAACATTATTTTTAATTTAAAAGTTTTCTCACTTGAATTAGGACGGCCCTTGTGACTAATTCATAAATATTTTTGTTTCCTTGTAATTGAATCACAAGCAACCATTGAAGATAAGTGCAGAAAATCACCTGCAAATGGGACCAATATATTTTAAATTCCCAACTTATGCACTTTAATAGTTAGTCAGACCCACTAAATTAAATTAAGTTTTAACTGTCACACAAAATCTACATGGTAATTATCTCCTCTTTTGCCTTGGGTCTATAATCTTATAAGCATATATAAAAATCAATAAATAGAGGGAAATAAAAACAAAACAAAAAATGGTGCTTGGTCTCAAAAGTCTACCAAGAAACAATGATTTACCACATCTTAGCTGTGTACACATGCTGTCCATGATGAAGATGGTTGAACACACACTCTGACTGAACAAATACAATGGGTCCATGGAAGCTATTTTTGATTTGTTTCGCCATTGACACATGACATAAAGTTTTAACCAACACCACAATACAAGCAAACTGACCAAACCCTCTTATACCCCTATCTGCCATTGTCTCATAATCTTTGTAATATCTTTACATTTATTTTCCTAGTATTTGAGTGTATTTTTTCAGTGATATATTCACATAACATTTTTCATTACCATCACAGTCTTTGAGGGACCCTGAAGAATTGATATAGGAAGCTATAGGATGGGGCATATGTCACTTCTGCAGTAAGTCATTCTAGTTTTTTAGTTTTTTACACAACTTGGAGGAAAAAGTAAAATAAAACTTAGGATTAAACATAGAAATGATTTAATTTTTAATACATAGCATAATTACTTTAATCTGTCTTATTTAACTAATACTTCTTAATGTGTTTAAAGATATAGAATAAGAAATTAATAAATAATAAAATTTATAAAAATTATAACATTTAATATTATTAATATGTTAAGTCATATGATATAATAAATTTATTATACATACATTTTATTGCATTTATTTTGGCATACATTAGAAATATCACTTAACTAAAATAAAGTGTTTTAATAAATAAACTTATCTAAATACCTTATAACTTTTTTTAGACAGTTACTTGAAGTATCAGCTAAATTTATAGCTCATTAATTTTCTGTTTTTATCATTGATATTTACATTATTTATTTTAATTTTTTGAATAAAAAATTAATTTTTGAACAAGAAAACTAAATAAATTAACTACAAATTTAAAGTTATAATTACCTAAAATAAGTTCTAGAAAATTTTATTTTTTATAGTCAGTCTTTCATTGATTTAAATAAAATTAATTGTTGAATGATATTTTAATAGTGTATGGACTATTCATTTTTGTTTTGATAGATAATAATAGATATCACATGTAAAGTGTATTTAATAATATAACTTATGATTGTATGAATCGATGATAGTTGGAATAATTACAATTATTTCGGTAGGTCTCTTTTTCATTTTTTTTTCTACAAATATTTTATCTTGAATACATGGTTATAAGTTTTAGATAATTTCATAATTTTCATGAAATTGTTAAAAGGAAAAAGAAAAAAAAAACTCACTCTTACAGTTATATCTTTTAGAAACATGCATCATCCTTATTAATTTTCTTCCAATATAATAATGCCATAACTCATCAAACTATGATCTTATTCACATTATTTATGTTTTTTAAATATGAAATATGATGTCTAAATTTCTAACAATTTTTTATACAAAACAAACTAATAAGATTATATAAACAAGCTTTTTTGTTTTTTGTCAATTAGTTTAACAACAATTTTTTTTCAAAAATTTATAATCTTATAATTTGTACTTAATAATTTTTAAAAAATTTTAAAATCGTCCCTTAGAATAATTAGTTTTAAATAATAATAATAATAATAATAATAATAATTTTGTATTAAAAATATTTTATATATAAAAAATTACTAAAATTTAATAAATATTTTCATTCTAAAAAAAACTTATCACTATTAAATTTTTAAAATCATCCCTAAATAATAATGTTAATAGAATCAATAATCTTTAGCTATCTTATTATCTATCGTTATCAAACAAATTCATAATATAACTCACCAGACACTGCACATGTCAAATTATTATAATATTTTTTTCTTACTTATTTGTGCTTTCGTATTTTTTTTCTTTAAAATAGGAATATTTCATTTTATTTAGTTTTTGACCCTTTATTCGTTCGCAAGCACATATTAGCACTTCCATTACTTTTACTTTAAAAATATAAGTAATTCAATTGGACAGATGATTTTCACCTTTTTGGACATAAACTGACGGGGTAATAATAATAATAAAAAAAGACAATATATTATTATTATTATTATTATTATTATCAAGTAAAATTGATTAATATTCATAAAATAATATGAAATTATTATTTTGAATAAATCTCAAGCATTAACAGAGACGTGTCATTTAAATGTTTTTTTTTTCTTTTTATCTTTTTTACGAACAAAAGCACTTGTGGAAATAACACACACATGAGAAATGATATTAACATTTTTTTCCACACAACTTTTACGACATATTCTTTATGACTAATTAAAATTTATTTAAACTTATGAATGATATAAATCTCAACAATTTTCATGAATTTGATTACGAGTAAATAGTATGTTAAATTAATGTATTATAAAATATATTACTATAAATATTTTTAACGAATACTAATAATTTGGTTTGCTATCTTCATTTTCCCATCATTTTATAGTTTTATATTTATTTATCTTTATTGTCCTTTTCAAAACGTCACTCCATTCCTCAAATATAGTAATAGCATGTAACCCACGAATATGTTACTCGAATATAATGAATTCTCCCATAGGGTTTGACAATTAATTATAAGACACTTCCATTAAATCTATTTCAATAATAATTTAAGCAGAACCCATCTAACCAGAATCTTTACCATTAAACCAACTAGAGTCACTAAACAAAAATCATGGTTGTAGCAGATATTTGGTGATTATTTTTACTTTATCAAACAAACAAACAAAAATATTTAATTCAATTAAACTAATAAATAACATATTTGTGATCCCTCAAGGTGCAAATCTCTTGACTATAACGTAAAATATTACAGTGATAATAATTCAATCAAATAACTTATGTTATATTATATTTTAATTAATCATAATAGGTTGAGTTGAAATTATATTTATCTGAAAAGAATTTTAAATATATAATTTCTAGAACTTTGCAAAATAACTGTTTTAATTTAAGAATTCAAACAAATGAACATACATTACTTTTTTATGACAATTATATTTTTCACACGTTATAAATTGTTTAATAAATAATAAATTTTATAGTTAAAATTAAATGCAAAGAAGAATGTTTATAGTCAAAGTTAGAAGCGAGGAAGAATGATTTATTAAGTATTAAAAGAATGAGTCAACTTATCATAATTATTTTAATAAATAAAAAATTAACACTAATATTTATTAAATTATTTAATTAATATCATTAATAATATAAAATTATTTTAATAATTAAATAATATTAATTCATAAAATTAAATTAAAGCACATCTAAATATAAAACTTAGTAAAAATAGAAGCCCATTTTCAACTCCAAAACCCAAGCACAGGTCTCTATCAGTATAACTTACCTGGAATAGTAGGGGCCCAAGAACTAACTAGCCTTACACGCCACACTCAGATAAAGTCCATTAGCAAACTATACACATCAAGTGTAATTTTGTTCAAGACCAACAGAAAAAATGTAATTTTCTTTTCCGAGAAATTTGGTCTTGTTTGATCTTTGAAGGGTTCTTATTCATTATTTAGTTTATTAGTATGCAAAAAGGAGCAGAAATTTATAGCTAGATTATTGATAGAGTGGTTATTCCAATTTGGGCTAATAAATCTGAATCCAATTCAAAATCTTTGAAACAAGGTTCCCTGCCCCTGCTTGTTAAAAGTTCAGGGTATTTAATATAAAGCAACTAAAAAAGAAAGGAAAATGTTATATAACAAGAATTGCATGTTTATATATTTGAATTTACTCTTGATACATGAGTGATCTCTATTACTTCATTTTATTTAACAAAACAATACTTCAATAGAAACCCTCTACTTTATGCAATGTTGCCATGCAGGTAAGTTTCAGTACACAATAGAAATCCCTTTTTCTTGTGATCAACTTGAAGCTCACCCTTCTTTCACGTGAATCTGCAATCCATGGCACCTTATATTGTCTGTGATATTTCAATGCTTCCCCATTTTTCTTTCTTCCTTTGCCCTTTCTCATAGGATATTGAATAATTATAAGGTTGCATCCAGGAAGCATAAATTAATAACAAACTTCAAATTTAGACAATATAACTGATAATAAAAAGACTATTTTTATAACAAATAGTTAGTTATGTGACACAATGCGAATTTTTATTATCAATAATTCCCCACTTGACCAAATATTAGAGTATAGAAATTAAAATGTACCTTTGAATTATTCTCCCACAAAATATGGAATCTGTATTTTCATTTTTCTGCCTTTAAGTTTGTGAGAATTTGAGATTAATTTGCGTACTAAACTGTGCTTGGAAACAAATAAAGTGCAAAGGAAACTTTACAGGAAAAAAATAAAAAAAACCAATGCAGTCCCAGTTTTACACCATCTCAAGTCTAGCTAGTTCACATAATTATGTAGAAATAGCCAATACTAATTAATGTACTATGGTTGTTAATTACTAAACTCAAGTTTTTCCGAGGAATCATAGCATCTCAGTAAAAGATGCTGCTCTGAAATACTGTGTTTGACATGCTCTATAACCCACATGAAGTTGCCTGCCAAATCATGGAACTTACATTAAAAATATTGATCATGATATACACTCTCGTAAATTCAAATAGTATTGGTTCATTTCTAGGTGTATTTTGATATAGAATTCCTTATCAACTACGTATTAAAACTTGTGATTAGTTATGACTTGAAATTGTCTATTCAAACAGTCAAAGGAAAAGAAGCACCCTGGACTTTTACTCCTTTCACAATTAATCTTTATATACAAAGAGAGACAAAGCCATTGACACATATATGGTTGACTAATCAAGAAGACATTCAATATGTTGTAGGTTGTATGCACAAATGGACAAGTTGGTCAAAGCGAATTAAAAAAAATTCTTGGCGCAGACAAGACGAAATTACTTAGAACATGTGCAGAAATTGAGGGGGACATGGTATATTAATTTAAAAGTTATGAACAAATAAGAAATAATACAACATGTGATATTGTATAAACTTACTTTTATTTTTTATATGTGCATATATCTCAAAAATAAATTAAAAAGATAAATGTCTTATTAATGAGTGCTTTAAAGGTTTTGATAAGAAATTAAAAATATTTTTTTATTAAAAATTACATTAAAGTATATTAAAATTAAAAAAAGGTTATTAATAATATTTTAGATAAAAATTTATATTTTAAATTCTTTGACTAACGTTGTCAAGAACTTGTTAATATTTGCCAAAAAGTAAAAGGAAATTGTTCACAAAAGTTGTTAACAAAACATTTTCGGTAGTTTAAATGTCGGTTTGTTTCTTGTTCTTCCAATAGACAGTAGTCCAACCCAAAATATGGAAAAGTTAAGTACTTTTTTTCGTTCAAAAGATCAACTTCGTGTCTCTTATGGATCATTTTCAGTGTTCACATGAGAGAATAAGAGTGAAACACAAACAAAATGACCATAACTTGTTTGAAGGGGTATACTCCTCAATTCAGTATAGAACCTAGAGGGAGTCTAATTTACTGCTTTTCTCATCTGTCTGTCAAACTCTACAAAACATAACCATAAACAAACTTTTGAATCTCAATAATTTTTTCCATGCTTTCAAAATCAAATGTCGCCAAGGCCAAAGTAAAACCATATTGAATATCCCACCAAAAGAAAGTTATACAAATAAGACCAAAAATAAATCAAAGAAAAAACTACATTAAAAAAATTCACTACATACACACCGCTATAAAAAGGAACTCCATCAAATCTATAGATACCCATTTCATTATCATTCATCATCATATATCATATCATATCGTAGTCAATAAAAATAAACGCCAGCTTAATTATCACAGCACCTCTCTCTTGTTACTCAATTAAACTCCAATTTTTCTTAATACCTTTAGCATATATGGCAATGAACTTCCAAAGAAGGCTTTTCAGTCACCTAAGGAGAACACATTTGGTGACAAAGAGAGTTATGGAACCGTGTGATGCGTTCCTCAACCACAGGTGCATGGACACAAAGAAAACAGTGGCTACACTGCTTTATGATCATCTTAAGCGACACGGATTCAACCCTTTCTTGGACAACAAGAACATGAAGCCAGGGGACAAACTGTTCGAAAAAATCGATAGGGCAGTTATGGAATGCAAAATTGGTGTAGCAGTTTTCTCCCCTCACTACACAGAATCATACTTTTGCCTGCATGAGTTGGCACTTCTCATGGGTTGCAATAAGAAGGTTATACCTATCTTTTGTGATGTTAAGCCTTCTCAGTTGCGCGTTGTTAACAATCCAAAATGGTCTGAAAATGATCTTCGCCGGTTTAGATGGGCTCTTGAGGAGGCTAAGTACACTGTCGGACTCACGTTCAATTCCTCTAAAGGGTCAGTATACATACATGTAAAAAACATAAACAATACAAATTTCTATATAATAACTTTTTTATAAAAATAAAAAATATTATATAATTGAATATATCAATAACATTAAATGCTATAATTTTTAATATAAATTTATTTATTAATTTCTTATTATATGTTTATTAAAAATCAAAGAATAACATATGATTCAATATATTATTAACATTTAAATACTATAATTTTTAATGCATAATTATTATTTATTAACTTTTTATTATATATGATTAGGCATATATTTAAAAATTGTATATTATATAACATAAATAAATTGTTTTAAATCTTTCTATTATGTTTTCATGATAATCTCTAGGTAGCTTCTTTGGTAAAGGAGAAAGTATTGATTTTTTAATATATTTTTAAGAAATTAAATATTTTTTCACATGTACTAAGAGAATATACAATACTATACTAAAATTCAATGCTTGGTCTAACCTTGAATGTTATGCATGAGTTCGTTATTGGTTAACGTTTACCTATGGTTTACATCTGTTTTTATGTTTTAATTCCAGAACTAAACATGTTATATAGAACTGTTAACCTATAATTATTATTTGTATAATATAGCTATATATCTATTGTTTTCTAATGTTCATTTTGTTTCCGGCGAAATGCAGAAACTTCTCCGAAATTGTGAATAGTGCTTCTGACATAATCATTGGCAGCATGATAGAGCTTGAGAATGAAGCACAGATGCAGCATAAAAACTTACCAATTCATCTTTAGAACCGATGACCTCTTACGCTAGCTAAAGATGTCGAAGAAATCTAACCATATATTGCTGAACTGGAAATAACCATTGGACCCCTTAGAGGTTCTAACCAGGGAGCACGCAGATCCCAAAAACGCATTCCTTATCAGTATAATATGTTTTAGCTAGATCCTTGAAATTCTCTGTTAATAAGGTCATATATACCTAATAATTGTTATTTATTGATTGATTTTATTCTTATTTCAGTAGGGACATAACAAATAATAAATAAGATGTCAGAATCCTTTGTACCATGTATGATATAGCCGCTGTTGTATTCTTGTTAGTTTAATGTAAATAACAAAGGTGTATTTAATTTTGTTTTCCTGTCATTTACATAAGCATGAAAATACGTTAAGTTATTTTTTGAAAAGTTAATTATGACGTAACCTACATTAAATTTAATATTATTTTGGCTTATAATAATAATAATAATAATAATAATAATAATATTATTATTATTATTATTATTGTAATATTTGAAATTACTTGTTTAAAGATTAAAATATATTGATTCACATCTTAGTTTAAGCACATTAAGTCTATTTATAGATTTTTTTTATCTATTTAAAATGTTTTACCTAAAGTAAGCTTTAACAAAAATTTTTTTGCCATATCCTCTTAATAATTTTCCTGCTTTATAAAGTAAGTATTACATTATAAATATTTATTCATTTATTATTGTGTTAAAAATATAAAACATATTAACACTTCAATCATTTAGTAATTAGAGAATTTGTAAGAATCAAGAATACTGTTTAAAATTATACTTAAAAAAATTAAGTTATAACGATATTAAAAGTCACGATCTTATAGTAATTAAAATTTAATTTATATATTTTTTTATTATTTAAAAATTAACTAATCTTAAAAATTGATATAAAATATTATTTTTATATTAATAAAGATATTGTACTACTACTCATAAGTGATTTATATTCTAAATTTAAATAAGTTTAGTTAAATATCATAAAATTAAACTAATGAAAGTTAGTCGGTATATCTTAAATAAAGTTTTAAATTTAAATTTTTATGTATATAAAAAAAAATTATCCACCATATTTAGTCATATGACTTGAGTTGGATCTAGATTAAACTGGATAAAAAGTTAAAAAAAAAATTATAAAATTAAATACGTTTCATATTATAAGTTGTTAGTTCGATTTTCAAACTAGCTGTGTTAACTTTAACATGGTTATATTGTAAATCATACTATTTTCAAACCAAATATTTTAAGATTTTTAAAAAATAATATATTTAAAATTTTTTATTTTATTTATAAAAAAACCCACATGTCAACCCAACATTGACTTATTGATTTAAAAAAAATTTATTATAGTAAGGTATCTTTAAACGGTATAAATTTTTTCTTTCATAATTATTATTGAGAAAAAAAATGTTAATATGGTGCTACCTCCAATCTTATTTAATTTTTTTGTCTTAATTGTAAAAGATAAAAGGTTTATATTCAAATTTGTTAATTATTAAATTTTTTTATATCCTTAAGCAATCACCTATTTTCAATGCAAATCATTGAGTTAATCGTTTAATATGATGGACTAAATAAAAAACTTTTGATATTTATAATATTTAGTTTAGATAGGCCAAATAAAAAAATGACAAATAACTATTTGTTTTAATACCTCGCCATAATTTAGAAGATTAAAATCTCACTAAATGAAATGAGAATATAGTGCAATAAAATCAATACTACGAGAGGAGAGAAAAATTTGACAGCAATGACAAAAGAAAAAAGATTCAACTATAGAAGAATTAGACTCCATTTAACAAAGTAAGAAAAAAGTTAAAGAAGATGATCAAGAATTTTGCAAGACTCGCCGTTTTTTATGAAGAGCTTAATATAAGCACCTTTGGAGAATGCATGGGCACAAAATACTACAAAGATTACATATAAGGAAAAAGGGGTGAAGGAGACAATAATGTATGTGTGAGAAAGATCAGTAATGAATCTTCACTAAAACTTTTTAGAAAACCATTATATATTTGTTAAAATGTTTAACTAAATTTTATATTATTTATATATAATTTTATTAAATTTTCAAAATAACATAACACCTAAATATATTTTTAGTCTATATAATTTTGTAAGATTTTAATTTTAGTTTCTGATTTTTATTTAGGACACTATTTTTTGAAATTTAATATTTTTATTCTTTTTATTGATGTGATACAATAAAATAAAAACTAACTTGTATTGTTGATGACATAATCACTGGTTTCATATACTTATATTTGGTTGCAGAAATTCCTGTCCATATTCATATTGGACATGGTTAAATATATATATATTTTTTATTTTACGGTTTTATTGAATATCTAAACATAATAAAATTTTATTAAAAATCGTATTTATTATATTAAAGATAGAAATAAATATTGTATTTTTAATAAAAAATATTATTATTACATGTGCAAATTTAATCTTTAAAGCTGAAATCAGCATTATTTTTATTTTTCCTTAAACATGATGAGTCAACCTATTTAATTTATTATTTGTAATAGATTGAGTTGGGTTGACAAATTTTAACTCATCATTAAAGTAATTTAACTCAGGCAAACTACACTGTTAACTTGTGGTTAGTCAACTTAGACTCACTTTAGTGTCACTTCAATTAAGTTGAATTGACTCCTTTGACAACTTTAAACACTAATTTATTTATTTTATTGTTTAAGTTTAACAAAAGAGAAACACAAAAGATAATTTGATTTCAACAAAGAAAAATAGGTTTATTATTTTATTAATTATTTTTAAAAATATTAACATTAATTAGTCTTCAAAGTTAATTTTAAGTAACTATAAATGATAAAATTTTGTTTAAAAAATAAGTTTATTAAAATTTCAAGTAACAAAACCAATTATTTAAACATGACCACAATGACGGAAAAAAATGTTGAAATTGGTCCTCATAAAGGTTCTATTCGTAGTTAGGGTTTATTAATTTTTTCGTCCAACTAAGAGGACACGAGTTTTTAAAACAAAACTTAAATAAATAATTATACTTATTTTTTCACATTTTTGGAAACACGGTTTTTCAATGATTTTTATACTTTTTAGAAATTCAAGTTACAACTAACAAGTAAAGTATTCGAACATTAAACTACAATATAAATGTAAAAACATCATAAGCACTAGTTATTGAGTAAAATCTCTGCCACATAAACTAAAAATAAAATAAGAAGGAAACAAGAATTGTCAAAAGCCAATGAACACATACAGCAAATTTATAGCAAAAGGGGATTTTGCAATGTTCTTCCATAGGATAGGAGTATGAACTATGATGGAAGATAGTGTGAGAGAACCCATGAAAGCCTTTCTCTGATGATCCAGTAGATGGCACATCCCATCTCGGCAGCATATTGGAACAACATTGGTCGTAGAAACACTCCCCACAAACCCACCACAACCATAGCCATGTCTGCCACCAAGCACATGCTTCTTCTTTGATATTTCTATGTGTGGCTTTTGCTCAATTTCCCTTGCTTCTTTGAAATCTCTAACCATAGGTTCTATCTATGCCTATGTAAATATAAGTGTGTTTAGGTAATGGAAGGATAGAAGCCTAGTCAATTTTTCTAAATTTAAGAGGCTTGTAGCTTTACTTTCTATATCCTTACACAACTAACAGTCTTCAATCATGAGCGGAGGTTGAGTCATTTGTGCTATTGTCAAACTCAAATCTGAAAATTTGGGTGGCTAAGTAGTATTCAGTGTTGGCATTGAGAGAAGGGACAAAATTATGATGGTTGAAGTACTAGACTCAAGCTTAGGTACATCTGGGCCCAAAGCGATAAAAGGGTCCTATAGCCTTTTGGTACAAGCCTGTGAATGGCCCAACCTTTGACATTGCCATCCAAGTTCACTTTTAACTGGCCCACAAAAAAATACAGTTCCCTTGGTGTGTATGTTTTGTAGTGAGAGTTTTGGTCATGAGGGGAGGGTTAGATTGATTTACATTAGTGTGAACCGGGACAAAAAAGAGTTAAACAGAACCAAACTTTACTTTAAGGAGCAAATGTTAGGCCTTCAATTTTATTTCAAGAGATTATTTTTTGTATTACATCACTTTCTTAAAAAATAAATTAATCTCTGTATTGTGTCGAATATATTTTAAAAATTAATTTTAAAAATATATTTAATTTATTTTAAAAACCAAATTACAAAAAACAAAAATGATGGTATAAAAAGCCATTTTCTTAATAATACCAATACCTAACCACAGTGAATGGTTCCCCGCCTTCCAATTTCATAAGAAATAAAAGGAAGAAAATTAATAATATTTAAATTTAATTTAAAAACATAAATACCATATAAAAATTTTATATTGTTATTTAATTATGATTTTCCATATAAATAAGAATAGTTAATTTTTATAATAATTAGTATAAAAATAATATTTATAATACATTTTAATTTGTTACTAGTCTAAATTTTTTTTCGCTAATATATTAAAAACTTGTCCCCTCTCCTTTCTTCCTTTTTTTTTCCTTAATTAATTCATATGTTGGCAGTATCTAATCTTATTATTTCCAATTATATATTAATAATATCGCTAATTTTAATGTAAATTTTTCATTTGGAAAAATTTTAAACTAATATATTTAGATTTTTAATTTTGTTAAATATCAGCCTTTATTATTTTAATCATAAAAAGTGGCTTTTTATTAAAAAATATTTATTAAACCTTAATATAATAAATATTTATTTTTGAAAATCATTGATTAAATAATTTAGAATAAAAAATATTATTAATGTATTTTTTGTGGTTTTAAATAAAATCTATGTATTTCTTTTTTATTTTTAATCTTTTGAACCAATACACTTAAGTCAACAAGATTGAAATACAAAATACGTAAAATCATATCAAATTTGTGGGAGGGAGTGCCATGTCTTGTTTAGAGACATTTTCAAGAATGAGTCAAAGGCATAGATGTTTAAATGTTTTAACAAAAAAATCTGGTTTTCAGTGCATCCACACGTTTACTTATAGAGTCCCACATTTCTATGGCTTTTGAATCTGTGTCGCAGTTATTATATGGTAATATGTTTGTCAGCAAGTTTATCAACTTCTGGTCAACGTGGTCTATTAACGGGTAGATAGGGTCCCAAACATAGACTTTATAGCTTTAATGTAGGATTTTTTTTAAGGAAAATTAATTATTATTTAAAATATCACAAAGTTATAAAAAATAAGTAATTGTTTTTTAAAAATCAAGTTAAATTAAATATGTATTAAATCTACATCAAGTTTTTTTTTTTAATTTAACTAAGTTGTTGGTCCCTTAAAGATTTTTTTTTTACAAGTTAGCCTATTTAATTTAAGGAATTATTATTATTAACTCTTTTTTTTTCAAAGGTCAGAAATCACAGGACTTTATACTACTCTACTAACCGTTTCTGTTTATATAAATTTAAGTTTACTACCATATTAAAAATAAATGTACTTTTTTTCATAATATCTTATTATATATTAAGTAAGGTTTTAACAAATAAATTTATTAATCAATAGCAGACATTATTTTAACTTAACTTATATTTTTGAGTTTCAATCTTAATAAATGTAAATGTGTTAAATATTCAGGAGATTTTGCCATTTATAATAATCTACTTAGTTCAAACATAATTTTCTCTAACAAAAAATACTTGTGTTCTTGAAAAAAAACGTAAAATTTTAAATATACTCATAAATCAAACAAAATCAAATCAACGAGTTTGAATCTTAGTTTTAAAAATATGTCATGTTCATATCTTAATAAGAATAAATTAAAATATAACAAAAATCTATCATAGATTTGAACTTGAGACTTATTTTCTTAAAATGAGTTAAATATGACCCTTTGATAAATATTTTTACAACCTAAAAGGTTTCTTTGCTTTAAATCGAGTATCATCTCTTTGCCTCAAAATTTTGCTTACAAAAGACTCTTTAAACGGTATCTACATTGGTTAATTTTTTTTCCGTCGATAAATGCCAATTAAATTAATTCTGACGATATTTATCGTTCGTTAACTGTCACTAACAAACGTTGTTATCAGATATTGTGTCATGTATAAATATTTCCAAATATAATTTAATATATAAAATAATAAAAACAATAATATGCCATAAGAATGTTTGCAAATTAGATTACGTAAGTTTTGAGTTAAAATAGTAATATAATCTAAAACAAGGAGAAATATCTTCTTATACTAGTGTAAATTTAAAAATTTTACTAACTATTAGATGTAAGTTAAATGCAAAATTTATATTAAATATAATTTTTTTTAAATTTACGCTAATGTAAAAAGATTTTATCTCCAAAAAATATTATAATTTGATCTTAATTTGTTTATAAGTAACATTTACTCAAATTCGATCTAATTCAATTAAATGCAGATTGAATTGAATAATTCAGTTTATAAATATATATACTAAGTAAATATGCAGTTAAAATTAAATAAATTCAACTGTTTGTAATTCTAAAATTCTTTTAAAGTTTAGAAAAATATTAAATAAAACTTTCCAAATATAATATCTCAAACAGACATATTAAATAAAGGTGTGTCATTTTTTTATTTTTCTTAAAATTTATTTAGGAGATAGTAAAAACATTATTTTATTATCTCTCTTATAGTATTTTTTTTATTATTAAAACTTAATGTTTTATATGAACATAAAACTAAAAAAAAGAAGAAGAAGAGAGATACGAGAGTAGCTTTAAATTAATCTAAAATAACAAGAATTATAAATTTACAAATATACAGTTGTAGAAGTATAAGTGATTTTTTTCATTTTATAGTTAAAATTATAATATAATAAAAATAATCGATTTAGATTAGATTGAATTTTTAAGATTGGATCTAAAATCTTGTTCAATCCAAAAAAATAGGTTTAGTTTTAACAGTTTTCAATTTTTAATTAATTCAAATCTTGATTTGATTTACGCAGTTTGCATCAGATTAAGTTTGTTTAATTTTTAAAACTTGAAATATGAGAACACATTGATTTATGGCTTCATTGATCTCACAAGCCTATTATTGTGCACGTCAAATAGTACATTGTAAAACTACGATACCTACGTAAGGGTGTAAAGCTAGTCCAAGGTATTATTAAAATTGGCATAAAATATGCTTATTCAGCCACTTGTATGTATAATGTAACGGAACGAATAGAATGAACAATGAACGCGGTAATTAAGAAATAAAACATAAGTAAATCTCGAAAATAAAAACACAAACAAACGAAAGTGTGTGTAATTCATGATTTCTACAAATTAAACCAACACATCTCTTCTTCTTGACGCATCGTCTTTCTCCTGTATGAACACAAGACTCACTCTTTTGTCAGCATTAACAAAATTTTAGTGTAAGGTCACACATGTTTACTAATATTAGTTATACATAAATGCATCATAGAATGATGCACCGCTTCACGCGTTTATGATTTATGGAAAAGAGTAGTGTTGTGGATTCAACAGTTATAATCACAAATTACGTATGCAGTGAGATTATTAGTTCATTGGTGTCTCCGAATATTATTAGGGACACAACAAGAAGGCAATATTCATAGATCAAGAGAGGGTTTTGAAGCTGTCTCTCTGAAAGTTTCAGGTAGATATGGATCAAGAGTTGGCAGATATAGAGTCTCAAACTGAGGAAACCCCTAATATCCACCACAAAGGAAAAAGTCCAGTGATTCTGAAGGTATACCTTTCAAGTAGCTGTATGTTTTTATTATATGTTTCTATCATTGGTAATAATGAATCATCATAAAATCGTAAACAATTATTTTTTTACAACTTCTTATGGTAATTTAAAATAAATAAATTATATATATATAATGGTTTGCCATAATTTAAGCTAAACACATGCATACTTTTTTCTTGAACACTCCCTCTTAGGAGAAAAAATCATTGTAGCCAGAAAATTATTTGGGCTTAATTCTTGGAGGTTTTCAAATTTTCCCATGTAGATTTTATTTTCAGCATGCTAATTTGGATCAATGCTGATTTTTTGTTTTTGATTAATCACTGCAGTTTGATGATGTTGTGTATAAAATTAAAACAAAGAAAGGTGGGTTACTAAAGAAGAAAAGGGATGCAGAAGAGAAAGTGATACTAAAGGGAGTGACAGGTATTGTTGAACCTGGTGAAATGCTAGCCATGTTAGGTCCATCAGGAAGTGGCAAAACAACTTTGCTTACAGCATTGGGAGGAAGGCTTGGAGGGAGGCTTGGAGGGAGCATAACATACAATGGTCAAGCATTTTCCAATGCAATAAAGAGGAACACTGGTTTTGTTTCCCAAGATGATGTTCTTTACCCCCACTTGACTGTGACTGAGACCCTTGTGTTCACTGCACTTCTTAGATTGCCTAATAGTATCACCAAAGAAGAGAAAGTTGAGCATGCAAAAGCTGTGATAGATCAACTTGGTTTGACCAAGTGTAAGGATAGCATTGTTGGAAGCCCATATTTGAGGGGAGTTTCTGGGGGGGAGAGAAAGAGGGTTAGCATTGGACAAGAATTACTAATAAACCCAAGCTTGTTGTTTCTTGATGAACCCACTTCTGGCCTAGACTCAACCACGGCACAAAGAATTGTCTCAACCTTGTGGGAGCTTGCAAGTGGAGGGAGAACTATTGTGATGACAATACACCAACCTTCAAGTAGGTTATACTATTTGTTTCATAAGGTGTTGTTGCTATCAGAAGGGAACACGTTGTATTTTGGAAAGGGATCTGAAGCCATTGAATATTTTTCTAGTATTGGATATGCCCCAGCATTGGCCATGAACCCTTCAGACTTCCTTTTGGATCTTGCAAATGGTACGCTTCTTTTTTCTATGCATTTTAGCAAATATGAGATGTTGTGTGACATTTTATTAAATGTTTGTGCTCATTACATGTTTAGAGAAGTTTTGATTCTGTTCTGAATCAAATACCGTGTCTTATACCTATAGATTTGAAATATATTTTATTGTAAAATACTATTTGCACTTATAATTGAAACTTTGATTATAACATTTGCTCCCAAAATAGGAGGCATTATTATGTCATAGATATATTTAAGCTGAGAAAGAGTTTTTGACCTTCAATTCTAACTTACAACGTTTATGCAATTCAGAGAGATATAAATTCTCTGTTGATGTGAGTCGTGTGACGGAAAATGTTGCTTTTACTACTAAAAGAATACCCTTCTTTATATTTGTAGTGTATTTTTGGGATGCATGTATAAAGAAAAGATAAAAAGTATGTTAGGCCCATAGCAGAAGAACAAGTCTTAAATGTGGCTAAGAATCCTAAAAAGCGGCGGGTTTATGTTAGAAGAAAGAAGAATTAGTTACATCAGTTAGTTAATAATCACGTGTGAGAGTATAAGGCTTTGTTGTATAAATACCAAAGTGAATTGTTTGTAAAAGTTAGTTTTTGATTCTTTGATTGTAATTGGGAGAAAGTCTCTTTCTCTGCTCGGAGTGTTAACTCTGGGAACTCTTGAATTCTGGCTACGAGCTTATGATTTGTTTTACTAGAAGCAAACGTTTAATGTTTGAGTAGAGTTATACCAAGTTACTTTGCTAAGTGTAAAAGATCTGCAGGTATCTACACTGATGCATTGAATGAGGACCACACCATAGATAAACAGAATTTAATTTCAATGTGTAAGAGAAACTTTGATGCACAATTGAAGCCAGCACTTGAAGGAACCATTGACTCTGGTAAAAGTCTGAGTAGATTTCAAGAAACAGAAAAATGGCCCACGAGTTGGTCGCAGCAATTCTTTGTGCTATTAAGAAGAGATGTCAAAGAGAGGAAGTACGAATCATTTTCTGGTCTGCGGATTGGTCAGGTCCTTGTGGTTGCACTCATTTCAGGACTACTTTGGTATAAGTCTGATATTTCACATTTGCAGGATCAGGTAAAAATTTCAAAAAAGAAAATCTGATTTTCATGCCAAATTAACAAAAGTAATGTGCTTCCAAGATGTTAGCTCTACCTCATCTTTAGGAAAGTTGGACTTACCTTGTACTCATTTCTTGCACTTCAAAAAAATGTATAATGAATCTTAAAGTACATAATTGTAGATTTACAATACACAATTATTGCCTGACTTTATACCTATAATTGGTTTGTGCTAAGTTTGTTATTACTTAAGTAAGTAAGAAGAGTCCAACCAAAAACACTAATCTATCAACTTGGAGAGTCTCATGGCTACCACATTAAGGATCTTATTTTACTCAATGTGTAACTTGTAAAAAAGTGATGGGGCCGAGAATTAAATTACAATAATAATGACTTTGGTATAATTTTGACTGAATGTAAGCTGATAAACTACACTGTACTTGCAGATTGGGCTTCTATTCTTCATATCTGGCTTTTGGGGGTTTTTTCCTCTCTTTCAAGCAATTTTCACCTTTCCTCAAGAGCTTATGATGCTAGAGAAAGAAAGATCCTCAGGAATGTATAGGCTTTCTTCATACTTCATGTCAAGGATGGTAGCTGATCTTCCAATGGAACTTGTTCTTCCGACAATCTTTCTTTGCATAACCTATTGGATGGCAGGGTTGAAAGCTAAAGTGGTCAATTTCTTGTATACACTTCTCAGCCTCTTACTAAATGTGTTAGTCTCCCAAGGCCTAGGCCTTGCAATTGGTGCTGGTGTAATGGATCAAAAATCAGCAACCACACTCGCCTCAGTGATTATGTTATGTTTTTTGCTAGCTGGTGGATTTTATGTTCAGCATGTTCCAAAGTTTATAGCATGGGTGAAGTACATTTCCATCAGCTACTACACTTACCAGCTCTTTATTGGGTCTCAATATAACTATGGTGAGACATACCCTTGTTCTAATGGCCAGTGCCAAATTTCAGGATTTCCTTCCATCAAGGAAATGGGGTTTCAGTTTCATTTGCATGGACAAATCATGGCTGCATCAGCATTAGTGATAATGCTAGTAGGTTACAGACTTATAGCTTATCTTGCTCTTATGAGGATTGGAGTGATAAAGAGCTTGGCCTAATGTACTACTTCTTTTATTCTGGTTCATTACTTAGTTTTTGATTTTCTTCAACTAAAGAGTTTTCTTCTTCTTGTCCTGCATTGCTTCATAAATAACTAGTTCATATGAAACTTTGGTGAGTAGAGTTGCATGTTTTTTATGAGTTATTCCGTATATGACAGCATGTATACTGAAATATAGTTACTTACTAACTAAACGTGACAGATTTTATATGCATTGACATTGTTCTCAACTCAAGAAAATAGTTATTTTATTTCAACGTTTCATTTTTTATATTTTTATTTTTAAATTTTGTATTTATTTTGTTATATATGTTTTTTTTAAATTTCTTTTTCATTTATGTTATTTTTAGTACTTTTCATATTTCTAACTTTTTATTTTCACCTTTAATCTAAGGTTCATTAAGGCACAAGTGCTTACATATCTAACACTCTTTACATATGCTCCTTATAGTCAAGAGGTTGTACATATTAATTATTCCATGAGACCGGAATTTTTCAATATATACAAAAAATACTTAATATGATAAAAAAACTCACCATTAAAAGTATTTCTACTTAATAAAATTCTAAATATATTCTATTTAAATATTTATATTCATAAATTATATATATAAATTGACAGACAACTTACAGTTACCGTTAAAGAAAGCAGCCTATCTTTTCAATGGCATGTGCGAAATTAAATCGTCAATATTAGGAAAGTGAAGCCATATTATATGAGGACTGCTGGTGCTTGACTAGAAATTGCTATTGTAAAGAAACTTAAGAAGAAAAAACATTAATACTATGTATATTTTGTTCACATTTTTTTTATTATTAGATGAATTTTATGACATAAAAATTAACAGGTTATTTAATAAATTTATTAAATTAATTTTAGAATTAAAATTATGTTAAAAATATATCAAACAACACATTTTTAACAATTTTTTTTAAAAGTATAATAATGCCAGCGTCACTCCCTAAAAATTTAATCAATTGTATTATGGGAATATAAAATTTGAAAATAATTGTGTATCATACATAATTATATTTATTATTTATATAACTTAAAAATTACACTAAAGAAGTTAATTGCAAATTAGATTAATAAAGATGCATTTAAAAAATTATATAAAAATTATTAAAAATATTTAATTCAGTTACATACTTAAATGCACCGTAAATTTAAAAATTAGTAGGTAGTGGCCATACAAATTAGTATTTGTTTATATTCACATTAATAAAATAAACAAATTTTTATAGGCATTTAAATATAGTATTAAACGGGGACATGATTTGATAAGCATGTCCCCATTGCCTCTGGTAATTAGTATATATAGTTACTTGCCACCAATTTCAACATGTTGACTTTGTGTCTTGGGCTAAGATGGTGCAAAAGACACGTACCAAAACAATTGTCGCAAATTAATGATGACACCGACATATACTTTCTTCATCAATTGTTGGCTATACACTTTATTCCGTACAGGTGAGGAAGAAGCATATGTCATGATTAAGTGAAGGTTTTTGCCTTCAATTATTCAGTTTAAGGTCTTAATGTCTAATCATCTGACAACATAATTCAACAATAAATAGTCTTAAATTTGTTGGATTCAACGTTATGCCGTCCATTGCAAAGCACTACATCAAATATAATAATGTAAGGCTAACGTTTTTGTGAGCTTCTCATGACATAACTTGAAATATTTCACATTAGTTTTCTTGCTACACGTAGCACTCAAAGCTCACAGCGCTTTCTTCCCTCATTTAAGGAAGTCCAGTTTACACATGATCGATCGTCCCATAAAATATTAATCATTTAAGTGTATACAAATATCCAACAAAATATATAGAAATTTCAAGTAATTAATACAAAATTTATATATAAATATCTAATCAGATCAATAAAAAGATCATATATCACGATTAACGAGTACTGTATCATGTAATTCTCCAAATGTCTTTGACTAAAGGATTTAACTGCCATTATTTAAAGCGACAATCAGAACCCCTTGATTTATGGATTATGATTAGGTTAAATTTCAACCACATGCATCCACCAATTCCCTACCTTACCCATAATTTTGTAAAAAAGATAGATATAATATACGAGGATGGTTGATTAAGCTTTTAAAACTTTGATTTGTCTTTCAAATGTATTTTTTCAATTTTCTTAACTTCAGGAATTTGATATAAGAGCTTTTGTCAACGCTTATTTCTTTGTGGAAGCTGAAATTAAAACTTAGTTTCTAAACACTGTTAGGTAAAATTTAGGAAGCTTTGATAACAAATAAACAGATGAAGTTAAAGACTACATAAAATCACACCAAATTTATATTGGTTTGACACTTGCCAATGTAGTAGTAGTGGTTCAATCCTTAATGGATTGTCATTTTAAAGTTTTCTCACAAACATTAAGAAAAATAATTAAAATATAACGAGTTATAATAATTATAATTAATTAAGATATAAGAAAATACTCTATAAAATTAATTAAGATATAAAATAAATATTAATTATAAAGATTAAATATATATTCAAATTTTTTTATTATAAAAAGCATGTTCAGAGTACATAGGTACACTCGAAATATAAACAGGGCAAAAATCTAAATTAGATCCATTCACGTTTGTTGCCAATTGAAAAACAATAAAAACGAGAGACAGTTGTTGTTTTTTTTTTTTTTTTTCACAAAATATTCTTACTAAAACTTAATAATAATAATAATAATATATTTATTAATTGATCTTATATAAATTTACTAAATAATATTATAACTGATATTGATAATTTAAATATATAATTTAATAATTTATTAATGTTAATCCCCCATTAAATAAGATATTAATATTAATGCAACAGATTGAGCATTGTTTCAGCGAGAAACATGCATTTGATTTTGTTGGAACTTTTATCCAAAAGAACCATCTATGAAAAAGCAATAAATTTTGAAGGATCGATATTGGTTAAACGAGATCCCATTTCTTAAAGAGACTCCAACGTGTTTTTCACATTTTTCCAAAACTTTCAATGTTTTCCTAAACTGTAGATGCATTTCAGAAAAATTTCAGTCCCCTTTTAAAGTTTTAATAGATCTGACAAATCTCCTAATATAAATATGAATTTCTTAAACATAGAAGTATGTAATCAAATGAATAACAGACTTCTATCATAGTAATAGCGAAAATCCCATAATTAAAGAAAATATTTTAATTCGAGAAGTTACCAGTTTAGGAGATACTTGTCGATCTTTTGGTTTTAGGATATAGATTTCAGCCAGAATCCAATAACTTAGTTGACAATCTCTTAATTGAAAAACAAGAAAAAACAATGGAAAATTTGAATTTCCTAAAAGCACATCTGTCATATTGGCTGAGCTAGTGCATTTGTGGTAATTTATTACTAACCCAATATTTATGTCATTTTTATCAGTAATGCACTGCACCTCTTTAACAATATTAGATTATTAGTTACATGCAATATTATCAAGATCGAAATCTTACTTAGGATCGAAAGAGAGTCAAAATTCATAAATCGTAGAATCATAAAATAGATCGTATGATTCTACTAAATATTGTCAAGATCAAGATCTTACTTAGGATTGAGAGAGGAGGGAGTAAAAAATCGTAAATTGTAGAATCGTAAAATAGATCATAAGATCCTACTAAACATGTAAAACTATACTTATATATATATATATATATATATATATATATATATATATATATATATATAAACATAAAAAATAACATACATAAGAAAATTAACATATAAATCACATAATTTAATTAGTCAAACTAGTACTAATCTATTATAATAAATTAGTGGTCACTCCCTTTAAAAGAGTTACTAGACTCTCAACATCACCTTGTATTTTTCTTTTGACCACATTTTCAAATTCATCCACATGTTTGTTTTTTTTTTATAAATTTTTATTGCAATTTAACAACAATGTCCTACATTTATTTTCAAACATCGTCAGGGATAACCATGCAAGTTCCAACATTTTGCTCTGCTCTTGCCAAATGATGTTTGAAACGATAAACTTCTAACATATTTATTCTCACAATACTTGCATTTGATTCGTCTAGCATATCTAAAAACTGAAATATTATGATTCCACGCTACATCATTTCTTGTTCCAACAGTATTGTTTGATTTTGATCTGAAACTTCTACTTCCAACAACAATACCACTCCTGCAGCTCCACTTAATTGAATTTTTTTTTTCTTTTTCACAGCTACCAACTTTCTTCCTTATATTATTCGCCATGTAGTAATAAAAATAACAAAAACATATGGGAAATGCAGAACTGAGACCCTCACAAATCTACCCACACAAAATTGAGATAGCCTTACCCACATAAAACCAGCCACCAAACAACACAAAACCAATGGGAAGAAGAAATCAGAACAACAAACACCAACAAAAATCAACCAATCAAACCTGAAACTCACAATGTACATTGTAGACGTTGCAAAATCAGAGCCCAAATAGAGAGAAGATAAGAGATTGGGTGTCAGGGAGGATGGGTGGCGCGTTGACGAGAAAAGAAGAGAGAATGAGTGTCAGGGGTGGCGTGCTGACAAGAGAAGAAGAGGGAAAGATGTCAGGAGTGGAACATTGACGAGAGAAGAAGAGAGAATGAGAAAAAATTAGGAAAAAATAAACCTAGATAGGTTTTTTAAAATTGGGTCAGAAGAACCCGACCCAGAAACCCAACCCCCTAGAATCCCAACCCAAAAAGCCTAACCCAGAACCAACCCAAAAAACCTGCCCTAAGATCAGATTGGATCAAAGATCCTGCAATTCTGTCAGAAGAGATCGAGATCTCAACCGATCTTCCATATAAATTATCCTAAGTGCGATTAAGATCGTGCAAGGTATATGTGATTATAAAATTATATGATCTTGCGATACTCGCGATTTTAACAACAATGGTTAGATGTACATTTTTTATTTCTTTTTTTATTTTTAAAATTTATAATACCTCTTTATAATATTAAAACTATGGAGATAATCATGAATAAAAATATTCCAAATGAGTATTGGCCGCCCAATGAAAGCACTTTGTATTTGCGTGCTAACTTTAGGGCTTCCTTTCCCATTTGAACGAATTTGCAATGAAACAGTTTACTAGTTTTAGTTAAGGTTAGGCCAAAGTCAAAATACTTATGCTTAAGGTTTGGCGAGCCACCAGATTGACATCTATCTGTTCGGCGCCTACAGAACAAAAGATATAACAGTTCATCAATGCGTGTCATGCAACACTTTACACTATCAAACTTAACCAATTTGTTTTGTGCATGCTGCATTCAGACACCAACTCTAGCTATAGTGGTTTTTATTCTTGTACGTTATATGCTGTATTTGTCTAACTATTTTTCACTTTAATTTTTCAATATTAAATCTTACGTTTTGTAAGAGGACCAAAATATTTTAACTTGTATATTAATGTAATGTACTGCACTAGTTTATAAGTCGTCTTACCTTGCCTTTTTAGTTTTTTTATTCTTGTTCTTGCAGATGAATATATTTAGTTCGTCATTTAAGTGAACTTATCGTTTATTTGAGTGGTATATAAACTTGTTTAATTAAAATAAAAGATTTCCTTAAAATGATCTTGCACATGCCATTTCAATAATAACTATTTGGTGAGTATACTAAATAACAGTTTAAATGCTTAAAGTGACATGATATTGATAAATACATAGAGATCATTTAGAAGAGTTTAGGCAGAGTTGACGAAGTTATTTTTTAATTTATTTTAATAAAATTTTCAGTATAATTTATTAAAATAAAATATTTTTAATTTATTCTAATTAAAATAATTTTGTAGTTAAATTTATGCATTAATCGTAATATAAAAAATTGAAATAAACACTTAATTAAATAAGTTAAACTATATTTAATTTAGTATTTAATATACTTTAAATTATTAAATAAAAATTTAATTTATTAAGTTATATTTCTAAACGCAACTTTAACTAAAAAATCCACTTGATGTTCACCGGCAGACAGAAATGAATAATAGATTAAGATTTTCCCCTCTTGCCACTCCGATACAAAACTCATTCCATGATTTAGAAAGTATTATTATCCTTCTAAATCTAGCCAATGATAAATAATATTTTTCGGCACTTCCAATTTTTCATAAAAAATATAATTTGAAAGTTTTTATCCTAGTCATATGAGTTGGAGGAGTTTTAAGCAGCGACTGATTTATTAAAAAACAATCTCAAACGTATGCTTATTTCCTCATAACTTGTCAGCAGTAACTTCCTTTTTCCTGGTCAACTTTATTATTTAAACTATTAAAATTTGATAATATATATGATATTATATATTATTATATTTATTTATTTATATCTTTTTTTATGTATAGACAACTCAAAAATATATTACAAACATAAAAGAAAACACTTAAAAGTATTCATATAATATTTGTATGAATACTTTACTCTCCCTGTTGTTGAGTGTTTTTACAGTGATCATAGCTCACTGCAGGATGCTTACGAATATTATACTGGACAAGAGAGACAAGTGCATTTTAACAATATTTTTTAGTAAGCGAGAGAAGTCTAACAAAAATGCAGTAGTATAATTAGCGCTCGTGTTTTTATTTTCTGTCTTTTTTAAGACCTTTGGCCAAGACCTTCATTATTTGCATGTGATGTTAACCGAGGTAAAGTTTGACATGATCACCCCATCTTTGAATTCTATATGGATTCAAGTCACGGCTACCAAATTTACTAGTCTCCCTTATAAATTGTCTTTTGAAATTATGTAAGATAAAATCAATAAAAAATAATATTTATAAAATTTATTTATTATAATCTTATTGACAAACCGAGCATATACCTTTAATTATTAAAAAAAAAGACATTTTTCATTCGTCACAAGCATGATACGCCGTAATTTGTTGAAAAAGATAAGAATTCCATTTAATTATTGAAAGACAACATAAAAAATAAAACAATAGCACATTGTATACCAAGACTATACTGATTAGAGGAATAAACTTCATGTGAGATGAAAATTTTAAGAGGGGGGGAGTGCAATTGAATAATTGACTAATTAGCTTTTGGTAAAGAGCAGAAATTGAATAAACTCGTCAAAATTGGCCGTACGAATTTTCCTTCCATATAATAGTCAATTAAGTTAAAGGGAAAATGCAAGTAAAAGACGGGCATGGGAAAAAGATTATTAATTAGCGAAAGAAGCAAAAATTGAATTTTGAAACGTTAAGCAATTTTGGCAAGCTGTGGTTAAACCCTGGATGTCTAGTAGTACATACTGAATAGTAAATTTAATGTTAATTTTTGTCACTTGTTGCGACGAAATAAACAGAGAGTATAGTAGGTGCTTTGAATCGTTGTCTCTCCTTTGGTCGGTTTTACCTGAACCCGGACCTTCCAATTCTTCAACTTAACCATTAAACCGAAGCCACCTCTTACTTCGAACCTAAACGTGGCACAAAGCCAAATATCATGTCACGACCTTCAAAATAATACAAAAGCAACACCCTATATTGACCACAATGCCTCACCTATTGCAATCTTCAACGTTTTCATATTATTTGTCAACCACACAAACTCTCATGCTAGTATACTTGTCAAAACACCACCCCATCGCTCACATAGTCACATACATATCACTATTAACATAACACCAAACCCCTCCACGTCACATTTTTTTATTTTGGTTTTCGCTTTACCTTTTCTTTAACATTTATATATTTTGACTAAAATCATAGACAACACCACCAAAACATGCCGATCTCCAATTTGTTCACTTTCCTACCCCTAATACACGTTCATATAACTATAAAACGTCACCAATCAAGGAAGAACAATCGAGTTGCATTACATTAAAGCACTGTATAATAACATATTGACCTTGACCAACCACGTCACGACCCTATCTTTTCTAAGAAAAAGACCCAAAACCTTGAAAGCCACACCCATACCTATAATTCATACTTGTAAGTTAGCCCTTGGAGGTTGATGAGTGAAAGAAACACCTAGGCAAATGAAAAAGAGAAAAGAGGAAAGCAGGAAAAAAGAAATAGTGGAGTACGTGTCGAACGATGGAAGTAACCACCGCACAACCTTTATACTTCTTTCCCTTTCTATCTTACCTGTTGTAACAAAATTCCAGCCTAACTCTCACTCTCTCTCTCACATGGACACGTGCCCGCACGTGTACACGCTTCCCGCATCCTCTCCTTGTCGACGTGGCTTAAACTCACGCGTGAAAATTCACTATTTAAAAATACATTTGTGTCAGAAACCTCATAGTGGATACTGGATAAAAATCATGCTTCTAGAACAATTACCATAAATTCACTGTTAACATCTGTCACACTCTCTGTGCCTTCTCTCTCTTTCTAAATAATTCAGACCGCGGTGCCGGTAAATACTTTGAATTCAATTGCTCATGTAGTAAAACAGTTCTCTGATGATACAAGATTAACGTTGGATTTTCACCTTTCGCATTGGTTTTACTTTTAAGGTTATGTACAATGCACCTACCGAACGCCACGACCGTATGGGAAGCAGATAAGGTCGAGTGTTGGGATGCATTTTTGTAGGGACACGTGGTGAAGTCCAAGAGGCGAGTAACTCAAGTGGGCCCCACTACCCAACAGTAAGACAAAGATAACCGTAATTATCTAGGTCCATGTGTTGCTATAAATAACGACCTTTGTCTACCGTTTAATGAGAAAAAAGAAGAAAAAAGATAACTTTTTAGTTTTGGGAAAAGTAGCTTGCTTAGCTTCCCCTGTTTCTTCTTCCTTCTTCCGCGGTTCTATTCATTTTTCTCTTTAACTCTTTTGCTCATTCGGAGAATACCTGTGTTTGAAAATGGGAGTTCCAGAGAAAGACCCTCTTTCCCAATTGAGTTTGCCTCCTGGGTTTCGGTTTTTCCCCACCGATGAGGAGCTTCTCGTTCAGTATCTTTGCCGCAAGGTGGCTGGTCACCATTTCTCTCTGCCAATCATTGCCGAAATTGACTTGTACAAGTTCGACCCTTGGGTTCTTCCAAGTAATTAACCATTCACCCATCTCTCACGAATAAATAATTTAACTTTTTTCTTCTTTGTTTTCGAGATTAATTTCTATTATTACTAAATTTGAGTATGATTGGTTAATTTTTCAGGCAAGGCGATTTTTGGCGAGAAAGAATGGTACTTTTTCAGCCCGAGAGACCGGAAGTACCCGAACGGGTCTCGACCCAACAGAGTTGCCGGGTCCGGGTACTGGAAAGCTACGGGAACCGACAAGATCATCACCACCGAAGGCAGAAAAGTTGGCATAAAAAAAGCCCTCGTTTTCTACATTGGTAAAGCTCCCAAAGGCACGAAAACCAATTGGATCATGCACGAGTATCGCCTCCTAGACTCTTCCCGAAAGAACGGCGGCACTAAGGTATATACACACATACATGCATATTCTATTTTCATTAATTAAGCTTAATGCTGTACCAAAATGAATTATTATATTTTTAAGTGAATCAAGTTAGTTCAAATATTTATCCTATTACACTTAACTTTTTATTCTAATGTCTGTTTAAGGCGGTTAAAAAGACCTTTTCATTCTTTTAGTTTTATCAAATGTCATAAATGAGGAATCTAATAAAATGAAATTTAAATTATTTAATTAAAGGTTATCAATTATTTATAAAATGAAATGTTTTTGACATCCTCTGTTTCTGTGACGCAGCTGGACGATTGGGTTCTGTGTCGGATATACAAGAAGAACTCGGGTTCCCAGAAAGCGGTGGCAAACGGTGGCGTTTCGAGCAATGAATACACTCAGTACAGCAACGGGTCGTCGACATCGTCGTCGTCTCACCTAGACGACGTTTTGGAATCGCTGCCAGAAATCGACGACCGTTGCTTCAACCTGCCACGTGTGAACTCGCTGAGGACGATGCAACAACAGCAGCAGAACCTGGGTGCAGGGGGTTTGGTGGATTGGACGAACCCTGCGGTTCTGAACACGGTTTCGGAGTACGTTACGGGTAACCAAGCGGTGCAGGAACAAACTCAGGGGATGCTGAATTACGGTGCCTGTAATGACCTTTATGTCCCTACACTCTGTCACGTGGACTCGACGGTTCCGGAAAAACCGGGAAATCCGTTGGAGGATGAGGTTCAGAGCGGCGTCAAGATCGAACGCCTCCAGAATCCCGGGTATTTTCAGAACGAGTTCACACAGGGGTTTTCAAATTCGGTGGACCCGTTTGGGTTCAGGTACCCGGTTCAGCCGGTGGGGTTCGGGTTCAGGCATTGAACCGGGTTGGGGGTAAATGTGTAAATAGGTGGGGATTCTTTGGGCTAACAGGTTGGCTTTTAGATTCCAAATATAGGGATATTTTAGAGAAAGGGTGGAAAATGGAAAATGGAAAATTTTGGTCCTTGTTTTCGGCCAGATATGGAGGTGGAGACGTTCAACGAATTAATCCACAGGATAAAGCAACCGTTTTGTCTTCGAAAATTAATTGCTTGGGATGTAGTTCTTTGCTCCACTGCACATTAATCACATTTTGTACTTCAAATCAACTACCAATTGTTCCTAACATCGTTAGTAAAGTGTAATTAGCAATTAGCAATCAATAATAGTATATTAATATTTTACATCGCTAAAAATTAATATTTTAATATGCACGTGTAAAATGAGTCACCGTTGATCAAATTCCAAAGGGTAGGTGCGTTACCATTTACCATTGTGAGAAAGAAAGTGATGATAAGGTCGTATATGAAACTCCCATGTGCAAAAATAAAATTCGAAAGTTAAACGAAGAACACACCTGCGATATTCATCCCCGAGATCTCGAATTCTTCACAGACACAGACTGCCTCCACTTCCATTAATTAGCCCAAAAAGATCAAGTGGCCATTTCTTTTTATTTTTCGATTCTGTAACATTGACAATTTCAAACACAGAATAAACAAAATATTTTTAGAGGGAAAACTACACCTCGAAGAAAAGCTTATGCACGTGTAAGTTGACATTTTGAAAAATAAACAATTTTGACTGCCGAAAATTGTTCAACATTTTGTGCGGCAATCAAGTTTTCACGGCTTATCAAGTCTATGAAACCAGCTAATTCGTTCTCGTTCTATTGTTTTTCTCACTTAATAAAAAGGACAAGTGCACCCGAGAAAAATGCACATATCAGAAGCTACGTGGAAGAGCACACACAATATCTTCCGATATCAATCCGTATAAAGGGATGTATGGAGAGCGACAAAGAATCACTTAATAAAAATGAGAAAATTTTCTACAGAAATGTTATAACATTTTAAGTAATAAATGTATATTTTATAAAATACTAAGCAGCTATTTGGTATTATATTATTTTCCCAAAAAATCACTTTCTTTTTATAAAATATTGAAAATCAACAAAATGAAGTAATTATTCTTGCAAGTTAAATCCAAATGCACTATAATTTGTTTTTCCAAATAACAACAATAAAAACTACAGGCAAACGAGGGCGCCAATGGAATAAGCACTTACATTTAACCAGATAACTGAAAATAGTTTATAACATTTTAATAAAAATTATTAAAAAAATATGTAATTAAATAATATATCGAAATGCGTTTTTTATACATGTTGAGTTTCGGTTTGAATTTTGAAAATAATTATTAAAAAACATTATAGAAAAAGTTGATAATAAATACTTTATAAAATTAACTGATGAAATAAATACATATTTATTGGATAAAGCAGGTATTTTACACGTCATGAAATGTTTCAATCCTTTATCAAGAATCTAGAATATTGCCAAAAAAATGATTAATAAGTGTATTCTCCAATCCCACGGATAATAGAAAGGGATAAAACAAAGTGCGCCTGTCAGATAGTACAAAAGAGGATAGATAAGCATCTTATCCTGGTTGCTACAATATTACAAATATACATACAGCAGCTATATATGTAACTTATTATTCAGCAACATTATTTTCGTTTACAAAATATTTTTATTTTTCTTCTACACATTATTTTATTTTATTTTTTTAAAGAAGCGAGTTTAACTTGTATTACAAAAAGTAAAAAATAATAATTTTGTAGTATTGCAAGGAGCCAGGTGGCAGCAGAATGCAGCAAAGAGGAAATCTGACCGTGTGGAAAGGGAAGAACCAGCAGTGAAATGCAGAACCACGACAACAAGATAAGTATGATGTTGTCGTTGTACCAGGTTTCAGGTTTCTTAGCAGTCAGTAAACTGATATTTGAACTTTGACCAAGTTTCAAATCAATCTTTCAAACTAGTACGCGAATTCCCACTGGTCACATTGCACCTTGGTATTGTTGTGCCATTTCTTTTGAGAATTTATATCTCGACTTTTTTTTTTTATATATAAAAGAAATAAAAAATCAAAAAATTATAATGTATTGTAGATAGAAATTCTATATTAATTTTATAAAAAATAATAAATCTTCTTAATATAATAATTTATAAATAAATAATAATGTTATATTTTATATTATTAATGTATTTAAATTAAATTTTAATATTTAAAATAAGTCAAAGGTTTAAGATTAATTCTTTTTTATGATTCATAGTTGTCTCTAAATATTGTACACGATACTTTTGTCCTAACATCACTGATAGAATTAAATTGATATGCAATTTTTGTTAATGTAGGACTATTTGTAACTTTTACAGCAAACAAATATTTGAATAAAAAATTGTTTATAATATGATTTCAAATTTAATAAAACGTCAATTTATTTTACAGGAAATTTAATCTCAATTAGAAAGTGTCATATCGTAAGAAGAAATAATAATAACGTACAGATACACATGATTAAATTTTTTATTATATGGCACTCTTTAATTGTTTGTCGATATTTTTTATAGTAGATCGATAGTTTATGTATTTAAACTCTTATGATATAGAAAAATTAACTGTTTTAAATAAATTTTATTTTTTATACAAAATTTGATTCTGAACAAAATATTAAGACACTCACGGTATGAATCACAATCTATTCTTAGTTACTTTGATTTGCATCCAATTTAGTGTCTTATTAAATTGTCAAGAAAAAAAAATGAGATAAGAGTGTTAATATATTTTATTCTGTATTCTTAACCATTTAAAAATAACAATGTATTCTTTAAATTTCAATACATATATTGTCATTCTTTATTTAATATTTCATTTTTAATCTAATAAATAATTTTAAAACACTGATAACAAAATCTTTTAACAGTTATAAGTTTTGGTATAAAAAAACTGCTTACTGTTTATTATTTAGATTATTAAGTTTTAAGATATTTTTATAAAATTAAAGTTGGTAAATAGCAAATACTCACAAGGTATTTAAATAAATAACGTATTTAAATGATTTATTTATTAAACTGTTATTACATAAAAATATATGACATAAATTTAATTATAACATATTTATCAAAATAAATTTAAAAAATTATAGTAAATTATACAGATAATTGTTAATTATTTATGATTGCTGTAAGCATATATCCTCCATATATACTCGTATAATGCTTGTGAATAACTTGGATGATTCTTTATGTGAAGCTGTCAATCACTTACGAGTTCTGATTCTTCTCGGCTCATGCACGTGATTTCAACGTGACATATTTTCTCTCTCTCTTTCTCTTTGACAAAAAATTATTGTTCTTCCCCTTTATTACTTTGATTCTGAGTGTTGCATGGCCCTTTGAGGTTGCTTTTTGCTTCCACCCATTTTAAACAAATTTGAAACGTGCAAGTTATATGCGTTTGAAACATTGAATTCGTGCAAACATGCACAACACTATACATCCCTTTCAGCTATATTATTCAAATCATTTGTTAGATTTTGGTTCATGCACACTCATTCTCCTCTTATTTAATTACTTGTTGCTTAAATAATGTTTTGCAATGATCTACCTTCACAATAAAAGCATATATCTTCATTCTTTGTAGGAGCACATCCACAAGTCATTTTATTTCAAGTACCTTAAATGCTTATTTTATGATTACTACCGATCACACTTGCGTGGTGTATGAGAAAATTATTATTATAATTATGAAATTGTAATTATTATAAAAATAATAATTAATGATTATATGATATTGTAAAAAAAATTATACCGTTATTGTAGTTTAATTAAATTTTAAAATAATTATAGAAGTAAAATTTACAGTTTTAGAAAAATTAGACAACCTCTCTTTCTTTTTATTTGTCCACGTTGAATATAGTATACAAATTTAAAAAATATATATTCATATCTTGATTTATATGATAAATGAATAAAATATGATTAATTAGATAAAGTTATGCACATTATAAAAAATGATATTATCTAATTTTTTAAAATTAACACATGCATACATGCATAAAAGTTTGTATAAAAGTTAAAGGATAGAAAGAAATGGAAAGAATGTTTTCAATATTGGTTTAGTGGTGGGAAGCCACAATTTTATCATTTTATTAATGTGAAGTTACCTTCTTCTTTTTTGTCGACTAATGTTAGCTTTAGCAAGTGTATGCGATATTTATAAACTATGATTGGATTCCGTTAAAGCATTATGCAAAACTAAAGTTATATTTAAATAAAAGGAATTGAACAAGAAATATCATCGATCTTGAAAATAAGCGTTACGTCATTTTCTATATATCATCAAATGTTAAATGATTTTAAAGGAGTAGTCACTCTCAAGATTTTATTTTCCACCATTTTTTGAGAGTCAAGTATATATCAATTAAGAGACAAAGACTCGGTAAATATTACAATGGAATAATTAAAAATAAATAATGTTAATTTATCTTTATATAATAAATGTAATTTTTTATTTTTGAATAAAAATAAATTTCAGAACTTTTTTACTAAATTACGTGATTTCTCTTATAAATTGAATATTAATGTTAGTTTTCCATATTTATTTTTAAACACTATTTTTTAATGTTTTAATTTAATTTAAATTTTAAAAGGATAATTTATGACCTAAATTACTTCTCAAAATTGAAAGAAAATTTTACCTGATAGACTATTTGCACTGTGATAGTAAGTGAATGTCAAGGGTCATCAAGGAGAAAACAAAGAGAATGTAACGAATATATAATAAAAACAAGATTTCATATAGGTACCGTGTATAAATTTATAAAATATGTAATATTTTATTTTATTATTGTAATTCAAAATTATATTTAATATCAATTTAAGTATTACAAAATTATTATAAAACACAATTTTTAAATGAAATGAAAATTTTATTTTATTATATTATTGATTAAAGTAAAATGGACAATTTGATTTTAAAAGAATAATATTATTTTTAATAATAGTATATTAAATGTTAGTGAAATATTTGATTTTATTAAATATTGTTCTTGGGAGTGGCTCATGGCAAAACTTTTGAAAAGCTTAATTATGTATGTAAATTAGATTAATGCTCCATTAACATGTATTATTAATTCCTTTAGAGATATAATGGGTTAGAGTATCTTTCGTACTCATATTTTATCTTTAATAAAATGTTAATAATTAACAAAAATAAAATAAAATAGTTTTATATATTTGAAAGAAAAATATCTTCAATATTTAAAAGACCAAATTAATATATAATACAAATATGTAAAGGAATAAAAAAAGTTCAAAATATAATTTATAAACTTTAATTTATAAACTTTTATATATATATATAGATATTTTCTTTCATATTATAAAAATTACTAAATATATAAAAAAAGAATAATAGTAAAT